CAAAAGAAAAGATCTGAATTGGAAATAGAAATAAAGAAAAAAGAACAGTTACTTATTAAAAATCCAACAGATGAAAGAATACGTAGTGCTATAAAACTTTTGAAAGACCAATTTCAAATGCTTATGGCGGAACAAGTTGCAACAAACTTACAATATGCAAAGCATAATACATTTTGTAACGCTAATAAACCGGGCAGATGGTTGGCTTACACATTGAGGAAAAAACAAAGTATACGGACTATTGATAGTATTGATATTGGAGGGAAAGAAATTTTTCAACAAAAATTAATTAAAGAAGCTTTTGTGGACTATTATACTAAACTATATGCCAAAGAGGAGGTGCAGAATGGACTTATAGAAAAATATTTAAACGATAAAAGAGTTACAAAAATTACTGATCAACAAAAGGAAAGAATGAATTATCCCATAACAGAGGAGGAGATAATAGTAGCAATTAAACAGTTAAAAACAGCCAAAGCTCCTGGCACGGATGGCTTGACTGCAGTGTATTACAAAACTTTGCAAGCTGAAATGGTGGAACAACTTAGAGATTTATTTTGCAATATTCAGCAAGGGGGTAAAATACCCCCATCATGGACAACAGCTTACATATCTTTGATACCAAAAGAACAAATCGGTCCTAAAAAACCAGAGAACTATAGACCAATATCTCTTTTGAATACAGATTATAAAATTTTTGCGAAAGTACTAGCCAACAGGTTGATGCCAGTAATTCAGAAGGTGATTCATGATGATCAAGCGGGATTTATCGAGGGCAGATATATGAAGGACAATGTAAGGCAAGTAATAGATTTATTGGAATATCTTGAGAAGAATAAACAGATCCCTGCAGTGCTGGTCTTCTTGGATGCAGAGAAGGCCTTTGACAGAGTGGATTGGAATTTTCTATTAAAGACTTTGAAAAAGATGGATTTTGGGGATCAATTTATACAGGCGATTTCGGCAATTTATCAAGAGCAAAAGGCACAGATCATTATTAATGGAAGCCTGACAACAGAGTTTAAAATTGAAAAAGGAACAAGACAGGGATGTCCGCTGTCCCCACTTTTATTTATTTTAACATTAGAAGTCTTGCTAAATACAATACGGGACTCTAATATCTTGAGAGGTATAAAGATTAGGCAAGAGGATTACAGAATAAAGGCATTTGCAGATGATCTGGTTGTTACCCTATCACAACCAATGGAATCAATAATCTTGATGAAGGACATTATACAAGACTATGGTAAAGTTTCAGGTTTTAGATTGAATCCAAAAAAGACTAAAATGATAGCTAAAAATATGACACAAGATCGTAAACATGAGCTTGAAAGGAGGGCAGGTTTTGAGACTGTACCTAAGGTAAAATATCTAGGAGTTCAGGTTGCAGAATCAAATATGAAATTGTTTCAAAATAACTATGAGGTGTTGTGGCGAGAGGTGCAGAAAGATATGGAGACTTGGAAAAAACTGCAGCTGTCTCTACTTGGAAGAATAGCAGCAGTTAAGATGAATATTTTGCCAAGATTTCTTTTTTTGTTTCAAATGATTCCGGTGCTTAAAAGTGATAAACAATTGAAAGTTTGGCAATCTGGAGTGAATAAGTTTGTCTGGAACGAGAAGAAGCCGAGAGTGAAATTGAAAATTATGCAAGATGTTCCAGAAAGAGGAGGTCTTAAACTTCCAAACCTACAGCTATATTATGATGCAGCAGCTTTAACCTTAACAAGTGATTGGTTTGGAAGGAAAAAGACTGGAATATTGAACGCAGAAAGTTTTGATCTTGAATTTGGATGGCATGCTTACTTATTTTACGACGACAAAGTAGATAAAGTATTTAAAAGTCATATACTTAGAGACTCTTTGATGAGAGTTTGGAAGAAGCACCGACTCAAATGGGATTATAAAATACCGCTATGGCTGGATCTTGGTCATACTTTGTGGAATACAAATATAATGTCACTCGGGGGGTTTTTATATAAAGAGGTTCTTTTTACAGATGCGGGCAGATGGCAGTTGAAGACATTGCAGACACTGTTGGATGAAGGGATTAATTTAACTTGGTTACAGTATAATCAATTACAATTGAGATGGAAAGAGGACCAAAAAACTGGTATTATGTTGCATGAGGAAGAATTGGTTAGACATATAAGAGAGAAAGGTCCAATGCATATCAAAAGGCTTTATAATGTTTTGCTAGAAAGAGATTCAGAAACTGAATTAGTTAAAGACGGTATGATTAAGTGGGCACAGAATTTTGAAGAACCAGTGATGCTGGAAACATGGGGAAAAATTTGGGTTCAGAATGTTAAATTTACACAGTCGCAGAATCTGAGGGAAAATTTCTACAAAATGTTTTATAGATGGCATTTAGATCCCAAAAAGTTGTCATGTATGTACCCTAATGTTCAGCCAAAATGTTGGAGATGTGAATGTTTGGATGCTATGTATTATCATGTTTGGTGGACCTGTAGGAAAGTTAAAGCTTTTTGGATAAAAATTTGGTGGGTCATGCAGAATGTTTTGAAGAAAAAAATTCAATTTTCTCCACAACTGTTTTTATTGGGTATAGTTAAGGGTTTTACATTGGGTGAAACAAAATTGATATTGTATATGATAACAGCAGCAAGATTGTTGATAGGTAAATATTGGAAGAATGAAGCTTTGCCCACTATTGAGGAATGGACTTTGAAGATGGCCAGTTTTGCAGAGATGGCAAAGATTTCAGCATATTTAAAAGACTGTTCACAAGAGACTTATGAGTGGGAATGGAAAAGGTGGATAGAATATGTTCAGAACAAATATCAAACTAGAAAGTATCAAATAGCTTTTATTTGAAAATAATGTAATGTAGTGGAAATATTTTAATGTAATGAGGTAAAGAGAAAAATTACACAGGGGAGGGAGGGGTTCAAGTTTACATATAAGTGTTATATTAAGGGTTTTTTATGAGTATGAATATATTATAGGGAAGTCTGGGGGGAGGGGAGGGTTAGGGAGGGTTAGGGAGGTTGGGAAGTTTGGGGGGGGAGGCGGGGGGGGGAAAGGGGTGAAAATGTAATTGTAAAACTTTTGCAATAATAAAAAAAAATACTTGAGATATTTGTTGCCAAATAAGGAAAGGCAAGGAGAAATCAAAGCTCCTAGTGTCTCTTATTATTTTACTCTTTTTTAACATACAAGTGCAAGCACAAATGCTTTATTTTGAAAAGTAATTTAGAAGGTTTTGGGAGAAATCTTTAAACACTAATGGGGTTATTTCTAGTACCATAGTTGTATGTGTTACTTCCAGATATCTCAATCAGCTTTGTTTATGCCTTCCTTGTTCATTCTTCTCATTTTTGTAAATATACAACCTAATGTTAGGCAAATGGAGTGAAGTGATACGTTTCTGGACTTCTACTGCCTCAAAGTAGTAATTTCCCAGTGTTGTCTGTCATTGGGCTACTTTTGGATAGTTACTTTACCACACACACTTTGTCTGAGCATCTACTAACACAAAAAAAGTTGGAATAGGGTGAATGGCTATCTCTTGTATTTCTATTTAATTTTAAGGTTTTTGTTCTACCTTGAAGTCTCTGATCCAACTGAGTTCCACTAAAACCAAGGGAACAAATAAAGTATTTACAAAATTTTCACTTTTTAACTCTTTACCAATGTTTCAGTGTTGTCATTCTGCTTTAAGTCATGAGTTTCCAGCTTTGTCCATTGTCTACCTTTCTCCAATTTAAAGGTTAGAATCAACTTGGAAATAAATGGGGCTGGAAACAGACTGATAATGGTAACTACATGGCTCATCAGTTTCTTCCAATTAGCAGCTTAGTGGGTGCATTCAAAAGCATTTGAATTTTCTAAACTGCCTTAAAAGAAGCCCAATGGACAGCACGTTATTGTAATTTAGTCTGGAACTACCTTAAGCCAAATATTCTCCTTTATTAGTAATATAGGCCACTTTTTCAGAAAAAGAAGAGAACAACCTGTGTTAACAAACTAACCCAGGGAAAGTCTTTTTCTAGATATTTCTTCCATACAGCAATCCAACAACAACCCTGACTGATAACTATTGTACTTTCTTCTGAATTAAGCTGCCATTTGTCCGTCCTTTCATCCAAATCAGAAGACTCACTTTCACAACCTTTCTGGTGGAGATGAGACAATTATGTGCCATCCAGGATGTCCTGAATAGTGCTCCAATTCCAATCTCCTAATGACTTTTTCCCATATCATATAGATATTAACTAATATGACAATCAAGATAGCTCCAGAGCTCAGTAGGTAGAAGCAGGGGTGAAATCCAGCAGGTTCTGACAGCTTCTGGAGAACCGGTAGCGGAAATTTTGAGGAGTTCAGAGAACCGGCAAATACCTCCTTTGGCTGGCCCCGGGGGGGGTGGGAATGGAAATTTTGCAGTATCCTTCCCATGGAATGGGTTGGGAATGGAGATTTTGCAGTATCCTTCCCCTTCCCCGCCCACCAAGCCCACAGAACCGATAGTAAAAAAAATTGGATTTCACCACTGGGTAGAAGAACCATTTCTTATCATCTAGAATCAAAGTATCTAGGAATGCGATACCACCAAATCCTGATGTAACTAGAAGAATATAGTAATGATGGTTCTGAAGATGCCAGTAATTCAATTGCAGGTAGCAACATGCACTTCCTATGGAGATCATTCATCCTGTTTTGTTTGTTACTCAGCCTGATCTCCCAAACAGGAATCTTAGAACGAATTACCAGAGCGTTAAAATAAACTCTGAAGCCAGATTAATTTCATTTTTAAATGAAATTAATTAAATGGAAGAATAGAATATACAAATTTCACTATTATAATGAAGCAGCTTCAAAGGGTTTGACATGTGTATCTGATGCACCTTCTTGGGGAATTGTGTCCACTTGAGAACTTTTGTTTTGGAATAAGGCAATTATAGATAATCAGTGGAGCAGCAGTGCAGCTAATTTGTAAGTAACCTGTTAAATTGCAACTTTCAAGAGCCTGAGGGTGAAGGTGTGTTGCTTGGCTGTGTATTTTTATTTCCTTGCTGACTGCTACCCAGTGTCCTAGGAAACTGAGGTGCATTATAAACAATATAAAATAAATAATACACAATTATTTTATAGCATTTCCAAAACACTAAACACAGTACAAGACTATTTCTATATAATCTTAAAAACTGAAAGAAAAAAAAAACTTGAAAATATGCTAAATTATCCCAATCATCCTATTGGTGATTATGCACAACAAAAAATCAATGGAAAAACAAGGAAAGAAGTTGCTGTTCTGACCACCACTGCTGCAAATAACTTTAAAAGCTTATCAAGATTGCCCCATTAAATTCAATAACTTTGGGGTGACTTTGCTGACGTGTTGGTTGCTAATCAACATGGTTTTTTTTTAAGGGTACATCAAGTGAAGTGTAGTGGTTATGTCCTAGGTAGATCCTCAGTTCAGCAGGAGAAAACAATCAAACTCAATTGCCATTGCCAGAACTCCACGTAAACTGATTTTGTGCTCTAGGCTATATTACTCAGGTATTCTACTGCTGACAAGGTAGCAGAGAGAGATTCTCTGAATGACAATTTGGAAAATGTTCAACTAATGTCCTTCTAAACAGCTCAAGGACTTCTGTTGACCAAACTACTAGTCAAGGATGAATGTAATAAACAATGGAAATTAATCGGCGTAACCATGTATATATCCACAAATAAACTACTTGTCTCAAACTTCAATCAAGACCCTTATATTGTTTTGAACCCTGAAATAAGTGCTTGGCCTTATTGCCATGCACTCAAAAGCCCGATTGGGCTTATTATCAAGGGATGTCTTATTTTGGGGGAAACAGGGTAGTTCATTCCTAGTGATCTAATATAAAGAAAGGAATTAGCTTCTCTAGTTTCTCACCTTCTCCCAGATTTTTGGCTTGGAATTAAAGACCACTGAATCTAGGAACTATGTGTGTTCAAAAGAAAGAGGCAAATAGGACATTTCAGAGTGCAATCAATTGTTCAAGGTAAGACTGCTAAATTGTCAGAATTATGTAACTCTCCAGCGCTAGAGAAATTTCAAATAGCAAGGACAAACACTCCTGACTTTTCGCCCAGAAAAAGTCTAGGAATAACTTCCTCAGATTTTCCATTAGGGATGTATAAAATAGCCCTGAAAGGTGTTCACCCTTAATAGGATTAATAACATGATCAGAGGAAGTCAACTAAGGTCAGTGGCGCTGTAACTCAACCAAAACAATACTAATTGAATTAGCAAACCAACCTTTCTACTGCACAGTGGGAGTAAAAAGAAGTCAGCGTAGATACTTCTCCACTCTTATGTGTTTATATACGTGAAAGCTGCATTAATGTGCTTTTGTTTATCACATCACTCCAACAAAGCTTCTTCTTCTATTTCGGAGTGGGTGTTCTTTATTTTCCACAGTGCATACATGGCATAGTTCTATCCTTTGTTTCTCTTTAAATCTAAATAATTTATTTTGGCAGATAATATTTACATTGCATTTATTTGCAGGGTGGTTTTTTTTAAGTGATGACGCTTTAAAAAAAACCCTTTTTTGAAATGATTTATTTTTTGTTTTGTTCTATTAGGAAGGGTCCTCCAGTTCTTAACCAACGCAACAATACTGGTTATTAGAGTTGTATAGTGCACATAGAATCTGAAGTCAAAAAAGGCACTCAGCGAGACAAATACAGCATCTATCGGCAACTATTTCAACAAAAATCATCTTTTCTGAGATTGCATAGCAGTTGAAGAGAGCAGCCAACAGATTCATGTCTTTACATGTTCTAAAACATTTTTTAAAATCTTGGATCAAGTTTCTTGACCTTACCAGCTACTGGCAGATGAATTTTCAAGTATTTTTGTGGAATGTTATTTCATTGTTTCAAGAATACAAATCAATGCTTTTGTCTACTATCACATGGATATTCCTATTAGGGTGGCTGAATTCTAGAGTTTTACTGACATAGAGCCAAGAAGCTGGAGAGCTACAGCAATTTTCAGGATGAACAGATTGCTGATATGTACTAGTTTTGACAGCTACCATGGTGTGCAAGTTTCATAGATTTTTTTTTTTACAGTTCCTTATAATTATGGCAGGTTCCTACGCCACAGTATAATTTCTCATGGACACCATTATTTGCACTGACAAATTAGAAGTCTTAATAATGATGGCTTTCGTGAGCTACATGCAGTTGCAAGTCCATTCTCCCTGCAATGTACTACACTGCAGTATTGTACTGCCTTGGAGTTTTTAGTTCAAATGTGTAATTGTAGAGAATGGCTGATTTCATACTGAGCAAATTGTAGCTCAATGGTATACTACATGCTTTCCCAGCAGAAGACTCTCAATTCAATTGCTGAATCTATTGAATTAAAAGGATCAGGACAAAGATGATTAGAAAGATCATGACAAAGCCTCTGTCTGAGAGCATGGAAAGCATTTTCCAGTCAATGCTTCAAATTATTCAAGAAGGCACCACAGTAACAAAAGCTAACCTATACTAAAAGAGAAACAAATTCAGCTCAAGTGCTGAACGGTGGTTGTAAAACCATCTCACACAGCTCTTATCCAACTGATATTTGTATGAGAGCTAAGGATAAGTTTTAACTGAACAGCTACTATTGAAAACATTTGTTATTAAAGATAACTCCTTGCCCTGCTGGTCAGCAAATATAGTCTGAAGCGCATAATTTGAGCAACCAAATGGTTTTCTAAATAGTTCAATCAGTTTAGTTGGTAGGTGTATAGTTTGTTTGATGGTTACAAACAGAGTTTGAACAGGTAGAGCTGGTTTTCAATATTTGCTTAAGACAATTCCTTACAGTGGCCTTGAGCAAATGAAGCAATTGAGATGAAAATAGGACAAACATTAACACATCATCGGTGTATGATGAAAACTATTTTGGTATGTTTTATAAAAAGAGATGGAAAACAATAGCAGCAAACAAATATAATTAGTCTGCATCTTAAAATGGAAATTCCATTCATGCGCACACTCACACACACAATTTTTAAAAAGTACTATTAAAATTTCAATCACATCCCGATATATACATCTTTAAACCTGATTTGAATTTCCAAAGTGAAAAGTAGTCTGCCATATATCACAGCAAAAACTTATCTGTCTATTGTCTGTTCCAAAATCTGGCTTGGGAGTGGGACCAGACACAATACTTAGCTTGTTAGCAGCTCATGAAACTAATTGTCTTGTCTTCTAGAGAAACCAATAAAACAAAGTTCATCTTCCTATCATCCTTTTGAGTCCCTTCTGTAGACACAAGCACAGCATTTACCCTTAACAATAAGCGAGGTTATATATAGTAGTTGTTCACTTTGAAACCGGAAGTTCCTTTGAAGGAAAATGAAGGAGCAAAATTTAATTCCATAGACAAAAGATGACAAGTTACTTCATGTTCTTCAGCATCAAGTACTTCAGGAGTCTCTAGAAGCCAATTTCATAATTCTGTCTGTCTCTTGGAAGAATGAAGATTCTATCAATACGAGTCCTTCAGTAATTTGTCACAATGAATGGCGTTTAGTTTCTTCCCAAAACTCCAGTCTCTTTGTAGTGAGCAGCTGGGCCACTCCACTTAAAAGCATCAGGAAAATAGTGAAGGACATCACAATGACATAATGGCTAATACTGCAATGAAGAGGAAATGATGCATTAGAAAGAAGCAGATTACAAATCAAATAATCTAAGGGAACAAGGTTTGCACACACGCACACATGCGCAGACCCACACACACAGACAATCTTAGGCAGGGTACATTCAAAGAAACAGTTTGCAATCTATCAATTACTGGTTTTAACCGGACATTTGCAGAAAGAATGCCAGTCATAGATGGATTTATTTCTGGGTATTAGATCATACTGCATCAAAGGCCCTATGACTCTCTGGAAAATTATGGTTACCCAATTTACTGGAACACAGAACTGCAAATGTCCTACATGCAGAGTTTATTTTTTATTTATTTAATTTCTTTGCTGCCTGCAGTGCAAAAGAGGCGCTAGGTTGCCCATCACTTCCCAAGAGGCCCATGGAGATTTTGATGCCAATTACCTTACTTTGCAGTTTTGTTTTGTTTTTTTTAATTTGATTTATATGCCGCCCTTCTCCGAAGACTCAGGACGGCTTACAATGTGCTCAGCAATAGCTTCAATAACAAATGAGAAAATGTTAGGTAAAACTTAATTTTTAAAAAATCAATTATTCAATCAGGGCCAAAAAGCTAATATCACAGCGTAACCCATGGTTTATATAACATAATAATGGAGTTGGAAGGGATCTTGGAGGTCTCCTAGTCCATTCCCTGCTCAAGGAAGAAACCCTATACCATTCTGGACAAATGGCTATCCAATCTCTTCTTGAAAACCTACAGTAATGGAGCACCCACAACTTCTGAAGGCAACCCTTTTCATGTTAATTGCTCCACTGTCAGGAAATGTCTTAGTTTTATGTTAGTTGTCTCCTTGATTAATTTCCATCCATTGCTTCTTGTCCAGCCTTCTGGTGCTTTGGTAAATGGGCTGACACGGTCTTCTTTGTGGCAGCCCCTCAAATATTGGAACACTGTTATCATGTCACTCCTGGTCCTTCTTTTCATTAGACTAGACATACCCATTTCCTGTAGCTGTTCTTCATATGTTTTAGCCTCCAGCTCACTAATCATATTTGTTGCTCTTCTCTGCACTCTTTCCAGAGTTTCACAACTTTTTTTTATATTGTGGCAACCAAAACTGGATGCAATATTCCAAGTGTGGTATTACCAAGGCATTATAAAGTGTTACTAACACTTTATGTAATCTTGATTCTATCCCTCTTAATGCAGCCTAGGATTGCACTGGCTTTTTTGGCAGCTGCAGCACACTACTAGCTCATATTTAAGTGATTGTCTACTAGGACTCCAAGATTCCTCTCATAGTTACTGCTATTGAGCCAGATTTTATCTATTCTGTACCTGTACATTTGGTTTTTCTTGCCTAAGTATAAAACTTTACTTTTCTCACCATTAACCTTCATTTTATTAGATAGGGCCCAGTATTTAAGTCTGTCGAGATCCTTCTGGATCTTGAGCCTATCTTCTGGGGTGTTGGCTATTCCTGCCAGCTTGATGTCATCTGAAAACTTGATGAGTTCCCCTTCTTTTCTCTCATCTAAATTGTTTATGAAGATATTGAAGAGTATTGGGCCTCAGATAGAACCTTGAGGTACCCTGCTGCTTCCTTCCATGTAGATGTGGTTTCATTAAGGATTACATGCTAAGTGTGGTTTGTCAGCCAGTTACGAATCCATCTGGTGGTGTTGCTGTCTATCACACATTTTTCTAACTTACTAAGAAATAGGTTATGGTCTACTTTGTCGGATGCCTTACTGAAATCCAGGTATCCTATGTCCACAGCATTTCACTGGTCCATTAATTTAGTCACTTTGTCAAAGAATGAATTAAAGGCCACCTGACTTTAAAATCAGCCCAGAGTTTGCCCTCCATCCCTTAACATTTCTGAGAACCAACCAACAGCATTACTCTGTTTGCATAAAGAAATCAATAATAGACAGGTAGGATAATCAAACTGCAGAAACCATTCTTTCAACAATTTGACTAACACCATACAGTTGTCCAAAATTCTTATAATAAACACAACCTCTCTGGGAGGAAAGTATTAGCTTTGTAATCCAACTGAATTTTTTTCTTCATTTCCAAGTAGTTTCACAGATAGCAAAAGTGTTATTGAATTTGTTCTCATTTTAATGTAGAAATTTGTGGAACCTTATGAGTTCTTCATTCTGTAAAGTTGTATGCAATTGAGGAATAAAGCATAAGTCTCCACACTTAAGTTTTGGTATTTAAAAAATACAGAGATTATTTGATGACTATTCCAATTTGTGTTTTAATCTTCCTAAACTCAGATGAAATTTTAATTACTCTGAATAATTAAAAGGAATTTATGATTGCATATTTTGTTTGTTCAGAGTCAGAAGTTCAATTTATATTAACTCTAGAGAATCTACTCAGTCAGTGAGAAATACCTGTTGTAGGATATGGCTAAATGTCAAGCAAACAATTGACATGCCATATTCAGTAGACAATACTAATTCACAATTGTTTGAACTGAATCTTTGACATTTTGATTTTAAATGTGTCCAGAATCAATCTAACATCCATTTGCTAAATTGCAATTCAAATTATTCTCTTCTTTCTTCCTGGATTCACCTTTTAACTTCCTTTAAATTATTCTCATTTTTTATGTGAATTCTTTGATTCAGCTCTATATTCTTACCAAAATCTACCAAAGTCTAAATTAAATGCATATTCTCCAGTATTACCTGTACACCCACCATTACTTGTGTCATTTTTAGACACTAAGAAACTTGGAACAGAGACAAACTTTTTAATGATATTTAGTTAAGCATCGTAAGATGCTACTAAATAAATGGCTGAAATAAGGAAAGCACGTTTATTTGCATAGTGCAGAACTTGCTGTGCTGAACACAAACTGCCATGGGGAACTTCATTCTAAAAGTTATATATTACTGAAGTAGTTAGGAAGGCAGGAAGCTTAGTATAAAATCCCATCAAGAGTCGACAATTTAGAAAGAAGATAGACAGACAGATACTGTATAAACAGTTATATAGATATATGGTTAAAATGAACTGATATATTTGTTCCATGTCTGAACAAATGAAACACATACACACACAGAGACAAGAATGTATACTTATTTTACACAGCAGTTGCCCAATAAAGATGATCCTTAGGAACAAGAGTATTTAATGTCTTATTTGAACATGACTGCATTCCTTCTCATTTTTCCCAGTGGAGAATTGGGAGGCAGCAATTTGTCATAGGCTTTAGGCAGAAGTTTATCACAACTCTGCTACCAGAAATCCGTGACCAAGCATAGCATGGATTAGAAGCAACAGCTATTCACTTGTGTTTAATTTGTTTTCTGCATAAGCTAGGATTCTTTGCCTGATGGCCTAAGGACTGCAGTGGATAATCATCGGATTGAACATTCAAGCAATGAAGCATAATAATTTGAGGCAAGGCAACTGTATTTAGAAAATGCAATATGGTTTGGGTTGGATGTGCATGTGTGTGCATTTTTAAACAATAAACATTGAGCCAGGGTATATATCATGCTAAGCCAGGCTAATGTTTTACAAGGAATGGCACCTGCTCACACTCATTGGCTCCATTCCCTGGGCAATGCAACTGGCAAACAGATGTCACTGTTTAGCTAGAGCATAAGCATATATTCCAAATGCGGATTACATGCTGATCACAATTACCTAGAGAACATAACCATAAATACTGTAAATCTTGGCTACATTCTCTGGTTAGTACAGGCTGGATATAAAGTGCATCCTGCGTCCAGAAAACATTCTTAAGTCTAGACACTTGTTTGAATATCAAATTATCTAAAGAGAATGGAAAACTAGGGGGGCTACTCTAAGCTTATACCAACTTAATGTGATGTTTGAGCATTTCTTGAACACATTTTACAGAGAGGGTAATGAGTGCAGAGGTGACACGCCCGTAAACCTCAAACAAATTTCACTCTTACCTATAGACATCAATTGCATTAGCAGTCTAGAAGACTTTCAACTAGCCACATGATTGATAGTAGCTGTCTTTTCCTGTTAGAAGTCATTTAATGTGTTAAAATCTATTTCTATTGCTTTGCCTTTAAGCTGCAATAAAAATCCTGGACCTCAGATCAAACGAGACCACTTGGAATGGTATGGAATTGTGTTCCAGAGAAGAGCGGAAAACTGGTTGTGTACATGTGCACAGAGGCATGTGTTCTACCGCTGAGCTAGCATTGCCTAGCAGAGTCTGAACAAGGCATTCTCATCATGCCAATCAAAGCTTACAAAGAGCGCTGCTAATCAGGATGAGGACGCAGCATGATTCGGAAACTGCTCATATTTAGTCATGATTAGAGAAGGAACATCAGTGGGGGGGATAATCTGTGATCTGAAGAGATTGGTTGATGCATCAGGAAGTAACTTCTTTTTAAAGTTTTAAATGCCTCCCGTGCTGATTCTTCCCATTCTTTCCTGATCGTGAAAGGCAGGCATCAAAAGCAAACCTGGAGGCACTTCTTTTTTTAAATAAAGAGCTTAAATTTTATGTCTCCAAGACTGTGCATTCATATGTAGCTAAAAGTTAAGTAGCGGGTCAGGACATTTTAAAACAATGTCGGGCCTCTTGATCCAGGAGGAGAGTAAATGCCATTTCATTTTATAGCATTCTATAAAGAAAACCAGGGAACTATGTTAGCCTCATTTCTGAGTCAAAGGAAGAATGGGAATTATCTATTCATAATTCACAAGACTCCCATTAAAAAGGTACTTTGTCAGGTATGATTTAAACCAAGGGTATCTAACCTTGGCAACTTGGGGACTTCATCTCCCAGAATTCCCCAGCCAATACGGCTGGCTGGGGAATTCTGGGAATTGAAGTCCACAGGTCTTAAAGTTGCCAAGGTTGGACACCTCTGATTTAAACAATCGTTGAACCATGAGTTCTGTGTATTGTTAGAAAATATCCAGTGATTTGTTTGAAAATGTATCTGCCAACTTCAAACGGAACCTGGGTTTTTTTCTTGTTCAGGGAAAAAAAAAATAAGCTTAAGGTGGAGGTGATGAGGAAAATGCTGACAGACAGCTTCCTCATTGGTTTACCTCCAGAAAAATTAGTTTTACCTTCTGAAAATACAATTGTTTGCTGGTTGGCCAGGCCAACCATTGCAGCTGTTTCAAGAACAAGAAAATGTTCATGGGGGAAAAGCCACTTGGTGTGAATTATCAGGATATGCTTCTCAAATTCCAAATATGCTCATCAACAATTCAAAGAGACCGGTTTACTAGAGGAAAAGTCATAGATACTCTGCACAGAGTACCAGAAAAATTTAGTAAAATAAAAAGCATAAAAGCATTTCAGACGTATGAAAACTAGACAAATGCTGTATTTTAGAGATGAAGACTTCAAGGACATAGATACTGCACTAATTATGTAAAACTTAAAGTAAGATGGACATTTATACTGGTGTAGCAATGAAACCAAAGCAGCTGTTGTTTTGAATATGTATCATGAAACAGCTATGTCAAACATGGATGATTTACATCAATTAATGAACCAAATTTTTTCAATAGTCTTGAATGTGAAGAAATGTTCTACTTGCACGGATTGAAATGTTCAATCCGTGATTACTTATTCACCCAAGTGATTTACTACTTGATTCTGAAATGATCAAAGGAATAACAAAGATATGGTAACTTTTAAGATTGCTAGAAAGTACTGGGGGCAGGAGTCATATGTAGTTTGTTTTATGCATTCTTCTCTTGTATTTATTAAATTTGCATGCTTCTTACCTCACCATTGAGCAAGGAAGTTTACATAGTGAGTTATATTAACTATGCAAAAATGCTGAATTTTTTTTAAAAAGAGCTATAAGCAGAATGCAATCAAAAGCAATTCCTAAGAAATTTTTATCATCTAATGGCAGTCTTCAAATATATATGGAGTTATCAGCAACCTATAGTATATGCCGGCAGCTCTATTTGGAAGATGAATTTTCACGGAGAAATGGAATAGTAATTTTAGAACAATAACCCAAAAAAAGTTTGCTGAACAACAACAAAATGAACAACAAAAAAGTATCAACAAAAAAGGATCCTACTTCATGGCAGGATTTGATGTCCTACATGGCAGCACAGATTATGTTTATAATATTGAATATGCAAATTCTTTGTCTTGCTTGAATGTAAATAAAAAAAATCTACAGATTAGCAGAAATGCCATATGTGGATGGCAAATGTATGAATATGAGGAGACACGGAATAGATGCATCAATGATTTTTTAAAAATATATCTATATTGAAAGGCATTTTCTAAGTTCAGAAAAATCATTTAGCAAAACTCTCCCAAAAGTATATTTTTCAAGCACCAGTTTTTCAGAGGCAGAGGTTGTTTTACAAGGGAAAGTGCTCAAATATAAATCTGTCTTCCCATACTTCGGAGTTCCACTTTAAGAAGACTGCAGATTATCTGTCTTTTAAGAAGATGTAATTCACCTCAAAATGTAACACTTCGAAATATGGTTAAAAATAATCTAGAAGGAGAAGGAAAGTAACACTGACAGCAGTGAAGATAGAAATAAATTAAGGGTATAAATTATACAGGCTTTCAAGTTTCCTTTGTGCTATCCTAGAACAATAAAGGACATTCTTGGAATCCCTGCCATACCTGTTTCTTGACATGGCCAACCTCAGAGTTGATATCAATCTTGTAAGCTTCTCTAGGCCTCTCTTTGCCTTATCTTATGCAAATAAAATCAGGGTTACTTTAAATTTATCATGCTTTTTCCTCTTTCTTAGAATTACATATGTTTTTGCAAGTCACTTGGCTCACTTATTATTTCACCCTATTGTCAGTGTTGCGTCTACTTTCTTTTACACAGGAGATCATGTCTCACAGTTTGAGAATTGCTGCCCAAGCAACATACTATTACCCAACTTAATAAGGCAAACACACACTCACACGCACACACAAAAGAAAGGAAAAAAATAAACAGGGGTAAGAAATTAGGAAGTCATGAATCCATTTTCTTTGAACAGAACAACAAGCAGCATTTTGCAGAACCACTTTTTACACAACGTTCTTGGTCAAACTGTTGGACTGGTAAACCGCACATATTTGTAACATTAGGGTGGAAGAAGAAGTCGCGGGAGAAGCTAACCAATGATTTGTACCTTGTTCCAATGTCTAGCCAGCTTCCGTAATCTTTAACCAGAAAGAAGAAGTGCTAGAAAAAATTAAAAACAACTATATTCAGTACACGTACATTGCCCAATAAAAGTGACAAAACTGAAGTGTATATTTGAAGCAGATTGTTCAGGACATATAAATCCATCTGTAAAAAAAGGTAGACCAGTCTCCGAAAAATATTTACAGTGAATAAAAACAAGTACATACTGTATGCCAGATAACAAGTCACTAAGAAAGGGAATGGGTAACAATCTGGTGTAGTGGTTAAAGACTGTGAGTTCTAGTTCTGCCTTAGGCACAAAACCAGATGGGTGATTTTAGGCCAGTCATTCTCTCTTAGCCCTAGGAAAAAGGCAAGGGCAAGTATTACTGAAATCTTGCCCAAAAAACCTGCAGGACCAGTTCAGACAATTGCTACAAGTCAAGAGTGATTTTAACAACACATACTCCCATCCCCAAAAGGAAACTGATTAAATTACTGTACATTTTGTATTTGACTATGAACTCCTTGAGCCCAGACAGATATTTCCACAAACAGACAGCTGCTGCCAAGAGCAACCAACCTGCATTTTCTTTACCATGTTTGCTAAAAATGACCCAAAGCGTAATCATGTCTGGCTTTTCCTTTCTATTTTGTTGGCTACTGCTTGCTGAGATAGGATGATTCTTACTGGAACAATCATGCTTCTCTCAACATCTGCTTCAGCCTTCTAAATGGTCTTTGGCTAGTCGTTTCTCTTTCAGCTTTAATTCCCTATAGCTGCATTAATGATCAACCTAAATGATACCATTACTGAAAAGCAGGCATGCTGAAGAAGCCATAGAGATAGTGATTACAGTTTATTGTCTAAAAATTAGTGTAATTTTCCCCATCTCATGAATATGGCAAAACAGTCTCCTCTTCATGGTCAGCAGTTGTATTAGTAGAAGAGAAAGCAACGGAGATAAAAAGAATTCTATTAATTTATTTCACCATTTGGCCAGATGGACAAAAGTTCTGATTCAGTTTAAGACAGTTGTCTAGCTATACCGCTACAAAGCTATCATGTGTTTATCCACTTTAAAATGCTGACAAGTAAAACTTAGAAGATGGCATCTACAGATTAGGTGGAAATACCTAGTCAACCACAGTTGCCCCCAGAATAAAGTAAGGTCAGAACAGGTTAATATTTGGGTGGGATAATACCAGGAAATCCCATGTCTGTACAATATATTGAGAATTTGAAAAATTTGAAAGAGAGAGGGAGGGAGGGAGGGAGGGAGAGGGAGGGAATGGCAAAATCCTTCTATATTGCTGCCAAGAAAACCACACAAATGTAGCTGCCAAAACTACACAAATGTAGCTGAATTTAAGAAGTTTTCACCTTTATTTTGGACTCAACAATAGGTAGCCTGGGATTTGCAAGTATTTCCTCCTATTTATGAGATTTCCTGGACCAGTTCAATCAAAACAATTTATTTATGATGTGATAGAACAAAAGTTGGCGTGTCATATTTAACTAATTCCACTGGGAGGAATAAGGGAACATAGATTTGAAAGCATAAACCTCTTCCATTACTGTTCCAAAGACACATCCTTTCTAGCCAAGTTGTGATATGTGCATACACTACAGGCATTGTATATACTTTAGGGTAAGCATAATTTTTAATTTTTTAAAATGCTATTTTATTATAATTGTTTAATCTATTTGATGGATCCTGATCCACCCACCCAAATCTCCCACTATGTACAAAAATAGGCTTATTCAGCCCGTTCTGAGTGGTATTTCTCATTACATCTTGCTTGATAATTTGGTATTTCCTTTGAAAAATTAAAGGAGACTCTTTTTTTGTTCTGAAAGTAGGGAAGAAAAGATTTAAAAAATTATAGCAGGTATGCAGGTGCATCTGATATTTTCTTTTACTCAGACTTTAAAATTCTGTATGAAGTAGATGAAAACTTAGTAGAAGCTAACTTAATGGCCCCATAAAAGAATTGAAGTGATAATATAGACTTACAACTTTTTTGATCATTCATTAAATTATTTCAAAAAGAGAGGGCCTTTCTGCAATTTATGCAGGGTTTCAAAGTCAACTCACTGACCTAATTCAAGGAACTTTGAAGTCTGAGGCTAATTCAGATATCCCTTGATTGAATTAGCAAAGCTCTCTGGGTTTTGATCTTATTTGTACAAAATGTCCAATAGTAGCTTACCAAAGCCATAATGTCTGAAATCACAAGAACAATGAGAAAAAGCCTGAGGGGGAAAAAATAAACAGTGTGTCAGAAAAGGACAATAATTCACAGTTCAATAAAGCTTCGAAGAACACAAGATGTGTTCTGAGGTACAATGTAGTTCTCTTTTGATCTATTTTCTCAGTATTGAATGTCTTAAGAATATCAGGGCAACCATACTATATGTTAACTATCAAACATGGAACAGGCAGAGAAATGAGCAGAATCAAAGTAGGCTGATTTGTATGACTTGTCAAAATTAGGCCTGGTTTTTGTTCTTTGTTTTTACAGCTAATGACTTTTCTACATAATTTATTATGTAACTATTACCTATCTTTTCCAGGGACCTGACAGTCTCTTGATTAATGGAACCCTACTAAATTGTACAATTCAAGTTTCCAAAATTTCACAAAGGATTGGCCAGATTTCAAAGTTTTATGATATTTATATTCCAATTCTTTCCCAAGGAACACCAAACAGTATACCTGATTCTTCTCTTTCTTTTGGTCCGTTTAATTACCTTGACAGCTATGGTTCCCTAGTCTTAATTCAGAATTATAACCACTTTACTACATTTATTCAATATTATCTACTCATCCTTACAGACTAGAAATCGGCTTAAAGCAGCTTCTCAGAATGCTGTTTCTATGACAAACCCCACACAAGGCAGTTTTGGACAACAATGCCCCTCTGCTGCACTTTCACATGTCTCTGACTGTCAAATGTAGAATTGCACAGCTTGCAATCACAAATGTTTGTTGGGTTTTGTTCATTCATTTAACAACTGAGGCAAAAAAGGGGCAAAACTGACAACAAACAACAGAAATTTTGGGCTCAACTGTGGTCGAGGACTATGTATATTTACATAGGTTCTACACAAGAACATTTGCTAATATTTATCACCGTGTCATGAAGGCCTAAAATGATGTCCACCTGGTTCAAAGATCATTGAGTATTTATTTCCCTTTAGCCTTAAGGCTTAAGAAACTAGTTACCTGTATCTGAGGTATCCAAGACCACATTTGTTTGGGAAAGCACATTTCAATGAAAAAGAAAAAAGAAAAAGACTAGGAACAAGTAAACACAAATACCACTAAAGACCTTTGCGTTATCATTATCTTTTCATTAAATAATTGAAATATTTTGAGTATGGATACTGTTCTAAATCACCAATGGCTGGTTTTACTCCAGAATTGTGCTAAAATGCTACACATAGCTGACCTAGTAGCTCGAAAAAGAAATGGGTCATTAACTGTAATAATTTAATTTGTAAGAATTATAAAAGTGCTATCAGTTAGAGTGTGAAAACTCATTAAAATGTGCTGCATTATGGCATTAATGCAAGACAATCACAACAGCCTCTAACAAATTATATCCACTCATATTATCAAGATCAGTTTTGTAAATTAACTTTACCTTAGAAGGCCATTAGAACAAGACAAAAAACATTTCATGCAAATTTGCTCAGAAGCTTCCTTCTCTTTGCAAAATAGATAACTCAGTTGGATATCATCAAAATCACTGATGGTATCTGATCAGCAGTGATGATCTGAGCCTCTCTTCTGCATAGATTTGACATATACATAGAACATCAAAATCAAAATCAATTTCTATTGATTGCACTAATAATGGCACTGAAATTTCTTGGTTTGGAATGTGCTAAGTTTCAGTTTTACAGCTGGGTTCAAACATTTACCTATTCAGCAGGAACAGCCACTGCACAGAGGGAGAACTGATCTGCATTTTTCTTCTCCAAGACATAACTTAAATCATCAATGTAGTCTCTCCACATGGAGGTATATGTATGCCAAACTGTGATTTCTTCAATAATTCAAACTACTCCCCTCTGTCTTTAGAGGGGAGGAAAGAGAAGACTCCTATTAACTGGACAGTGATATTCCAGTATTGTCCTCTATATGAATTTGCCTCCATAATAAGTTAGTAAGTAGACGGGCATGCTTGCCTGCATTTAAACTCTCATGAATGTTTTAAAAAGCCTACTTTGATAAGAAAAAACATTTCATCTAATAATCTATTGTTATGTGTGAATTTTCAGCATTTGAGTGGAACTAAAAAGGTATCAATCCCTGTTCATTATGCAGAGACTGAAATCTTAATTTTGTGTGTGTGCGTCTATATATATTGATACACATAAGGAGAGAAATCTAACAAAAACTGAATACTTTCTGAATGGGGAAAACCTTGGGAACTGAAACTAATTATGGAATTTACAAAGTAGCAGCCTACAAACAGTTTAATTTTCCTCTATTATCAATCTCAAAGCAACTTCTGATTCAGTAAGTGAAAAAGTAACTAAAAAGCTTTACCTTTTAGATGATAGCTGGGTTGTGACCTGAATAGCTTCAAATGCACATGACACAAGAACAAAGGGGATTGCAATCTGTTCAATAAACACAATTCTGTTAAACTGATGGCAGGTTCCCACAAAACAAAACTAACATTGCTAATACTTAGAGAGCCATTTATGGACAGCCCAAAGTTTATCAGATTGAAAGTAGAGACTGCAATATATTCTTTTTAAACAATTCAGCGTTGTTTAAGTTTAAATTAAACATTATTTTCAGTCTTGGCAAATATGGGCTTCTGCATTATGTTAAACCTTTTTAAAAGGTTATTAAAATAAACAGACTACAAAATGACATTTATTAATAATGAATTATCTACTTTCAAGGAATATTTTCCATATAAATGCTGAGAAGCTGTTTAGTGATATGGAAAATCACTACTGGTAAACACATTCCCCTGTCCCAGAACAATCATCAGTGCTATTTTCATTGTGGAAACTTTGATAATTTCTGTTACAACAAATCCCCAGAATACAATTTAAGATTGACCATATCCCAGTGGTGGAATTCAAATATTTTTACTACCGGTTCTGTGGGCGTGGCTTGGTGGGCATGGTGTGGTGTGGCTTGGTGGGCGTGGCAGGGGAAGGATACTGCAAAATCTCCATTCCCACCCCACTCCAGGGAAAAGATACTGCAAAATCTCCATTCCTACCCCACTCCAGGGAAAAGATACTGCAAAATCTCCATTCCCTCCCCACTCCTGAGGGAAGGATACTGCAAAATCTCCATTCCCTCCCCACTCATGAGGAAAGGATATTGCAAAATCTCCATTCCCACCCCACTCTCGGGCCAGTCAGAGGTGGTATTTGCCGGTTCTCCAAACTCCTCAAAATTTCCACTACCGGTTCTCCAGAACCTAACAGAACCTGCTGAATTTCACCCCTGCCGTATCCATTATATATTGTATTGATAAAAGTCACTCATTTGTTTCTTCCTAAATATCTAGATGTGTCTGGGAATTGAAATGCACATATTGTAAAGCTGCCAAGTTTTTAAAAAAAAAATATTCTAGATTGTATTTTTGCAAAATGCTATGTTCCTAATTTGTAAGTGTTTTTTTTAAATATGTTCTTCCAATAGTTGTCTTTCAAATTCAGAATCTAAGTACATCACAGTGATCCAGCTCTGAAGTGTTCTTGTTCCATACAGTGTTGAAGATGTGACTTGTGGCATGCATGATAAGGGTATTCATCATTCTTCTATAAGATTTAAAATATTGTATTCCTGGATTCCATGCATTTTTTTTCTTTTTTTCTTTTTTCTTTTTTCTTGCTTTAATTTATATGCCGCCCTTCTCCGGAGATTCAGGGCGGCTTACAATGCGTTAAGCAATAGCCTTCATACTTTTGTATATTTATACAAAGTCAGCTTATTGCCCCCACAATCTGGGTCCTCATTTCACCTACCTTTGAAAGGATGGAAGGCTGAGTCAACCTTGAGCCTGGTGAGATTATTTCTTGGGCAAAATAAAGGACAGCCTCATCTTATTTACTCTGGAAATTACACTACATTTCCTGAAGCCGCAGAGAAAAATTTGAATTTTTTTCTCCTCTCTTTTTCGACATTCATGTTGTACAGCTTCCAATATTTTGGTATAAACCCCTCAGAAGTCTTTCCTAATGGCATTCATAGTTTTTATATATTTTTTTTTCTTGTGAATTACTACTACAAGTAACAGCAGCAAATACAGATTGATGTGAATTATTGTGTCATTTCTTTAGTAGCATTTTTTAAAATTTAGTTCAAAGTGTGATCTGAACAGATCGTCATCAATGCAGAAGGCCAAAAGACATCACCCCTGCCTCCTGTTATACAGAAAATGGTTCCTTTCTCTGTGAAGAAGGAACACAGAAAGAAATGGCTCCCTGTCAGAGATAAAGAGTTTTAGGAATGTGGCTTCCAAGGCCTGTGGGGGAAATCAAAACCTGCAAGATGGCGGATGCAATGCTGGGATCCAAGCTCCTTTTGTACATGTGTCAAGCATCTACAAAAAAGGATGGGCTTGACTTCCAGTTGACATAGCGAGGAGAACGACTTGGAAAAATAGCAGGCTCCACTATTTTCTGCTGCGAAATCCAGCCAGTAACCACTGTTGGTAGACCCTATGGGGTCAAAGCCACCTTGTAGGGGCGATGAGGAAAGGAGAGGCACTTTGTGGACCACGAGGAACTTGCAATTTCCTCATTAGGTCCGAAGCAAGCTCTCCCAAACAGCAGCAGGGACAACGGCCATTTTTGGCAGTCACAAGTTGGGACAACCAGGACCATAAGATTTGTGCTGGAGCGGTCTGTGGACAGAGCATTGAAACTTGGTGAGATAACTTCCAACTCTTACTCCAAAGATCTAATTTAAGTACAAGAATTTTAAAAGATAATCTCCAAGTGTTAAGGAAGCGGCAATTAGACACATGGTGAAGATTAAAGACTGAAAATTAAGAGGCAAAAGAAATGCCCAAGGGAAGGTTTAAAATACAGAAAGCCTGGAAAAAACCTTAAACAATTTGAAAGGTGGTTTTTGGGAGAAACTGTCTTGCTTATTTGTATTTTTAAACCCCCTGAACTGATTGGGTAATCAGCTGTTCTTGACATACTGCTTAATGTTGGACTTGGGTGCAGGAAGGTCATCTACTGGAAAAAGAGGAGCATTACAGCACTACAGTGCCAGTACTCTTAGTGAAAGAAAAAAGGTGATAAAAGAAAAGAGAAAAGAGGAAAAGTTAAATAAGACTTTAAAATCAGTGGTGAAATCTACTTACTTTCACTACCGTTACACGAACGGGAGCGTCTGTGTGCTAGATGCACGCGCGCACCTCTTCTGTGCATGCGCAGACAGTAAAAAATGGGACATAATGAGTCCCATTGGGTGGAGCTTCCCACTGCCGGCACTACCGGTTCGCACAAGCCAGATAGATCCGGCCGGATTTCACCACTGTTTAAAATTTGGACAATTGGGAAGATATGTAATTGGAAAATCACACGGCTGTAAACTATTAAAGAATTTTAAAGATTATAAACTTAGGGGATTTGGAGGTATAACTATGGGATTGATTGAATTTTATAAGTTGAAGTTTCTAAATATTGAGACGTTGAAACCATAGAAGTATACTGAGTAATCTTTATTAAATTGTTACAAAATGGATCTACAGGGGATAATAGAGGCAAATGAAGAAATAATTTTGATGCTCAAAAACATGCAAGAAACTATAAAGAACAATAAGGAGTCAAGGGGATTGTCTAAAGATAAAGAAATGAGTGTAGAAGCCACTCAACAATTGGGGGGAAAAGATGAACATGATATTCAGGAAACAGATGAGAAATTAGAAGAAGCAGTGGAAGGAAAAAATCAAAAGGAAATGCAAGAAGATAAAGATAATGAAGAGAAAGGATTAATAAGTAGGAATCAATCAGATAATTCCTTAAAAGTTTATAATAGAACAGAGAGAAAAAAGAAAAAGCTCTTCAAAAAAAAAAAAGAAAGTCTTATTGATGGGTGGTCAAATAATACAGCAGAAAGAGACAAAGGGCAACCCGAAGGGAATGTTCAGTAGGTATAAAAATATCAAAAAGAGTTTTAAGACTCAGATAAAATAAAACATGTTAAAACAGAGGCACATTAAAAGTCTAGTATTCTACATTTGAAAAAGTAGTACAAAAATCATACATAGGCCAATTCTTCCTTCCTTCCCTTTCTTTCTTTCCTTCCTTTTCTTTCCTTCCTTCCTTTTTTCCTTCCTTCCTTCCTCCTTTACTTTCCTTTCCTTTCCTTTCATTCCTCTCTCTCTCTCTCTCTCTCTCTCGTAAATTTCTATGCTGCCCATCTCCTCTGCAAGATGATTTTGGGCGGCTTACAAATTATTGAAACAGGTGAAAAATAGTTAATAGACTAAAAGATTATTTGTTGGAAAGTGAACCTTGCTAACTTTAAGGTATAGCAACAAGTGTACAGTAGAACTGTACAGTACGCTACAGTAAAACTGTAGCCTAAGTTTTGATCTTACTACATACATCTCATACATAAGTGGGACTTCCAGGTCGTGGAACCGGAAGTGCCATGACATCACAGGCTGCTGAGACTCGGGAGCAGAAAGGGAGCCACTCCCATCTTAGGTGATGTCATGCAGGTGAGGTTTTAGTTACATAGTTGTGTGGCATGTCCTATCACTTCCTGTGGTTTACTGACATGGTAACACCTGCATATCTTTTGGGGCACATAAATGTGTACAGCACAGTGGTTGAAAAACGCTGGCCTGTCTAGTCTAACAAATAACATTTTCTAAAGGGGCAAATACTGACCTTCCACAATAGCAAGCCTCCCATCAGGAAAGGGCTGAACACAGTCAAGAAGCAATATACTGAGGTTGGATCAAAGCTAGAGTTTAAGAATGAGAACACAACAAAACATTATTAATGTGCATTTTTGTAGCCAATACTTTCCAGGAGGAAACAGCAAACAGCATGTCTCAATTACAAAAATGTGACACTATTATGTAGCAAAGAAGATACGCTGCTAGTTTACACTGCTTCTACTTTTACAGCTGAATTTTAGTATTTTAAGTCTACAAGTGACAGCCTTCTACCTGTTACTTAAATATTTTTAAAGCCCCATTGATCTCGCAAAGTATTTCCTTATATCATTTCGTTTTCCACTGGTAACTATAAGTTACTCCTAGATCTGTAAGTAAACAAGTGACATACACAAAAGCACCTGGCACATTACCCACTCCTTGTAATGATCGGCTGCTAATTGCGAGCCAGCTTACTGGTTTTGCTTTTTTGTTCACATGGAAAGTATTATATTTAGGGTTCTCAGCATGGTCTCCATGATCAGCAACAATACCATATTTGGTATCCAAGCTTTGGCCCACTTGAATTTATACACCCACGTACATGTTTCTTTCATAAAGGCAGATTGTCAGCTTCCAGTATAAACTTTTATTTCCAAAAATAACACAGGAGGGGAAAAAAATCTTAGCACAAAGAACCTTAGGAAACACATGTAGCAGATGGTTGTACCCGAGTGCTCCATTAATGCCTCAAGACAAGACTAACCTAGGTGGGAGAGCGGCAGACAGGAGTGCTTTGTGGGATAAATACCACAAAGAGTATTCCAGCTAGATTTTTCCTGCGTGGGTTTGTAATTGCCACACTATGCAGAAACAATTATTTTGTGAAGAGGTAAAGCCTCTGATAAGCAGTTTTATTTATTTATCAAGAGCACAAATGACATGTTCAAATTCCAATTATTTATTTATTTATTTATTTATTTATTTATTTATTAAATTTCTATACCGCCCTTCTCCAAATATGACTCAGGGCGGTGCACAGCCTAAGTAAAAACAGAGCATACAAAATTTAAAAAACAGTATTAAAATAATTAAATATTTTGGCCGTAAAGTAAAACAACCCCCAATTTAAAATCAATTTAAAATTTAGCTCAAGCCAGCCCAGCTAGTTGAAATAAATAGGTTTCAGGGCCCGACGAAAAATACGGAGGTCTGTTATTATACGTAACTCTGGGGGAAGGTTGTTCCAGAGGGTGGGTGCCGTCACAGAGAAGGCTCTCCCCCTGGGGGTCGCCAGCCGACATTGTCCGGCGGACGGCACCCTGAGGAGGCCCACTCTGTGCGAGCGTACTGGCCGGTGGGAGGCTATTGGTGGCAGAAGGCAGTCTTGTAAGTACCCCGGCCCTAAGCCATGGAGCGCTTTAAAGGTGGTCACCAACACCTTGAAGCGCACCCGGAAGACCACCGGGAGTCAGTGCAGCTCGCGCAGGAGAGGTGTCACATGGGAGCACCTCGTCGCCCCCATAATCCCCCGCGCGGCCGCGTTCTGGACCAGCTAGAGCCTCCGGGTGCACCCCAGGGGGAGCCCCATGTAGAGAGCGTTGCAGTAGTCCAGGCGGGAAGTGACTAGTGCCTGAGTGACTGTGCGTACAGAGTCCCGATCTAGAAAGGGGCGCAACTGGCGTATCAGGCGAACCTGATAAAAAGCCCCCCTGGCCACGGCTGTCAAATGATCTTCTAGAGACAGCCGTGCGTCCAGGAGGATGCCCGAGTGATTCGCCCCCAATAGCCAGCGATGGCGTCAGCTGGCTATATCAGGAAATTATGATTGCCACACTGTGCATAAGCAACCATTTTGGCAACAGATAAGGCCCCCGATAAGCAGATCTATCTATCTATCTATCTATCTACCTACCATGTTTCCCCGAAATAAGACCCTGTCTTATTTTTAAACCCCGAAATAAGCGCTTGGCCTTATTTTCAGGGAGGTCTTATTACTTTGGGGCATGTGAAGCAAGACAGGGCTCCTCTTGCCGTCTTACCTGATTTCCAGCTCCGTCACGTTTCTTGCCATTGTGAGCAGGGAAACAAGTTGTACCGTAAAAAAACACTTCTCGCGAGTTCAATCAATTAATTCCAACTTCTCGAATGCCCTCCCCTTCATTAGGTCTTATTTTCAGGGAAGAGCTTATTTTTGGGGGAGGGCTTATTTTAGCACATGCCCTCAAAAGCCCGATTGGGTTTATTATTCAGGGAGGTTTTATTTTCGGGGAAACAGGCTATCTAATCTAATCTAATCAAGCCAGCCAGCCAGCCAATTTATTTATAGCATAGGTGACATGTTCACAAAATCGCAAATATGCCAGCCAACTACAAAAGATAGGGGATTTCTGTTTCATAGAACTATATTGGGACAGGTTTCATTCTGTTCTTTTTCCATCTACAGCTCCTCTTCCATTAATTAATTTATATGTGGGTCCAACTGGGTAAGGAATACTTGGATGTAGTACAGATACACTGAAGTTGTAGCATTCTATGCCATTTCTTTATGCTATTTGCTATGAGCATAGTGAGCCTCAGAGTGAATTTATACACAATCCGCAGGCCTGTTGCTGAATTGTGTTTCCTTTCCTTTCCCGCAATATTTTAGGAAAATGTCATGCTATTAAATAAGTATTTTTTGCAGAGACATCATTCATATTTTCATTAAATTCCAGCTTCATGTTGGGAAAGGTAAAATTATTTTACATGTGAAATGACTGTCATGCTGCATAAAGATAATGTAAATGTGGTGAGCGTACACATGCCTTGTGTTTCTATTTGTTAAGACAACAAGGAAAACCAAACTTGACTAAAATCTGCTAGAGACAAGAATGTGCTTAGGAACAGCAGTGTCAATTGCAAGGACCATCTCCATATTCTACATATCAGCCAAGGCTTTGATAGTTATCACAGTGAGGTGACATGTGAAAGTCCCCCCAAAAAACCATCTGGAGGCATTTGAACCAACCCAAAGAGGTTTATTGCGCCTGCCAGTTGAAAATGTATCAGAGAGTTTTCTGTTTATGACATGAGAGAAACTCCACTTTCAGATCAGCATGTGCTATGCTGAATGCATGGGGCCAAATGTAAATTCCCATCAGTGAAAAATCCATAAACATTATAAAGGTCATGTTGACATCTTGAGTCATTCCTGATTGGCCAATTCCATACTGAAACCCACCAAAGGAGGAAATCTAGGGTAACCCAGGACAACACCAAAGATCCCTCAGCTAGTCGGAAACAGACTTTGTTACACAGCAAACTACAGGTAGTCCTCGACTTACAACAGCTCATTTAGTGACCGTTCAAAGTTACCAAGGCACTGAAAAAAATGACTTATGACTTTTTTTCACACTCACCATCATTGTAGCAACCCCTGGTCATGTGATCAAAATTCAGGCACTTGGCAACTGACTCATATTTATGACCTTTGCAGTGTCCCAGGTTCATGGGATCCCCTTTTGCAACCTTCTGACAAGCAAAGTCAATGGGGAAGCCAGATTCACTTAACAACCATGTTACTAATTTAACAACTGCCATGATTCGCTTAACAACTGTAGCAAGAACAGTCATCACATAGGGTAAAATTCACTTAACAAATGTCTCACTAAGCATCAGAAATTTTCAGCTTAATTGTGGTCATTGAGGACTACCTGTATATGCTACTTTATCCTGAGTATTTAAAGACAGAGAAAACATAGCAAGAAGCACTTATCAGCTCCAGCTTCGAGTTAGTAAGATGGAGCTCCTGCAATTCACAACTCACTTCCCCTCCCTCTATCCTAGATTGTTGGAATATTAGAGTATTCTGATGAAAGAGATGGAAAATGTTAATTCTCTCTCAGTAAGGTAATGCATGCCAGAACAGAGCTTTCAGCCAGATTTAAATTGCTGGTAAAAGATACTTTACCAGCACCTAACCTGGCATTTAAAAAACGGGATGTTTTAGCTGAAAATTCTACTCTCTCTGTCACCTAAACACACTTTCCTATTGCATGAAAGGAAGAGCAGCTACTGTATTCTTCCCTTTACAAATGGAAGAAAATACCTGGCGAAATTCCCTAAGGGCAGAGAAAATTTCTGATCCTGCATATTCTTTTCCCCTCATCATGATTAATATCAAACATAAAACATTCCAGGGTATGCAATATTATATGCAATTATGAAGGCATTTGCTTAAATGGTTTAGTGTAGCAACAAGTAAGCGGAAACAGAATGGTGGGATTGCGATGGTTGCTTTTAACATCAGCTTAGATCAGTTTACCTGTTAATAGAAGCTATATTTCCAGTGCCAAAAAAGGCCGTCACTATGAAGAAAACCTGCATCAAGTTGAGGAAAATGCAAGATTGCCAACAAGGCAACTAAACATAATTGTTCACCGCATTTTTTACAAAAGTTAAAATCTCCTGACTGATCCAGGAACTAACAAGTATATCCATTGCAATTTTCTGTATATTTACTCAAAATTATGACTTATAATATTCATCTGAGAACACCACCCAGAATTGCACTATTAGTGAGATTAATATGCCAGCCAGCTTTCCACAGGCTACTAACCCATATACATATATGAACAAACGGCAAATCGCTGCAGCTCCCCTCTTTTAACTTTGCACAGATATTACATTCTTTGGTTCCTTAAGATGAAATAGTTATTGAGATATTAGTTTATATGTGTGGCAAGAAGAGGAGGAGGGAAGAAGAATTCAAATTTCTTGTGCCTGGAGGCTTCTGCTTATCCATCTAAATAGACATTTGTCTCGATGGTCAATTACTAATAATTTTAAAAATATTGTTGCCAGCCCATCTCTCTGGATGACTGAGGTTACAGTCCATGGCAAAACTGGTGTACCAATTTCAGCTCACTTCTTTCTAAATTTTAACACTGTATTAGGCCCATATGATTTGAAACAAGTTCAATGGAACTAACAGTAGCTGTAGGATGCAAAGATTCTTAACAAGTGACTATTCCAGTCATTCAGCTTTCACTGTCAAACAGGAAAAGCAAAACCAAACGGCCATCAGGTAGTTTTAGCAAAGGAGAACAGGTCATGTCCAGAATGAGGTCCTGAAGGCCAGGAAGGTTGGGGTCAGATGACCTGATAGTCTTTTGGAAACCTAAAAGCTTGCATAATAATTCATGAGCAAAACATGTCTAAGCTGTTAACTATTGAAAGCTTAATATATAGGCATCTAGAATAATATATATGTAGTTTCATTTATTTATTTATTGGTTGGTTGGTTGGTTCTTGGTTTTTTTCTTCTTCTTTTCTTTTTTTTCTGCCCTCAAATCAGTCTTGATTAAAAAAGAAGAAATAGCTTCTGTAATCTATAAATTTACCAACTTTGTGAGCCTGTTAGATGTGCAAGTTTATTCAAAACTAAAACACTTCCACCTTAGATGAGAAACTTTGAATTTCATTTGAAACTAGATTCTGTACAAAACTGTGAAAATAGAACATTCTGCTGTAATATTCAATTTTGTTAAACTGTTATAATATCTTACAATATTTAATATTTGCTAAGCCTGAAGAACTCATTACATTAGCCTAAATGTTCTATTTTCAAGAATGTTATGGACAATTAATAATGATTAAAAAAGGCAGACAGGTTTTCTGATTAATTCAGAAAACCTAAATGCATGGAAAATAAGATTTTGCATTCTTATGTTTGAAGCTATATGAAGTTAATTGGTAGCTAACACTTTCTAAGTAAGAAATCTATAGATTGATAATACTTAGAAAAAGTCAAAATGCCATTGTCAAATTGTTCTGTGATAGTAATTCAACCATAATCCTAAAATAAATCTATCAGAATAACTTTTAAAACAGCAAATCATTTAGGCAATAACTTCCTAAAAGCAACTGGTTTTTTTTTTAATCATCTTCACTGTACTCTGAATATCTTTTTTCCTAAATTAAAGGATACAAAGAAAAAAGCCCTCCTGATGTCATCCACATGAAGTGGTCGAAACTGAGGTGTATCTGTAGCGTAAGAAAAGCTGAGAGCAGCAAGCTACAAAAACAGAAAAAGAGAAATCAATAACATAGCATCAGGTAGGATTGCATTCATATTAAAAGTATATATCCCGGAGATCAAATGAGAAGTTAAAAGGGTGATTTTTCAGTGAATCCAGAAAATCTACATAACACCTCTTCTCCTACAATTTTGTCATATCTCAATTATTATTACAAGAAAGTTACTTTTCAAATACTGGCAACTAGTCAAGTACTTTGGTTGCCTTAAGGAAATAATACTCTGACCTATCCATTGGTTCTCTTGTTTGTTTGTTTGTTTTTCTTTTTCCCAATGTCCTACAAAGTGGCATATTTTCCTAATCCAGAAAAGTTGATTTTGCTTTCTAGAGCAGTGTTGGCAAACCTTTTCGGCATTGACTGCCGAAACAGGAGTGTGTGCGTGCACATGGGGAAGCGCCGGAAACCGGAAGAGCAGTTCTGGTTTCTGATGTGCGCATGCGTGCCGGTCAGCTGGCCTTCTGGTTTCTGGCATGCATGCGCGTGCAAAGACCAGCTGGCCGGCATGCGCGTGCGCGAAGGAAACCAGAAGCGCAACGGGCGACGGCTGGCATGCCCGGAGAAATGGCTCTGTGTGCTACTTCCGGCACGCATGCCATATGTTTGTCATCATTGCTCCAGAGCTTTATGGAGCAAAGATATTGCAGTGCCAAATCCATAGTGAAAGTTAAACTTGTTTTGCTCTGATGGGTTTCTAGCATCTTTTGTCAGCTTCTCTCACATACCCTGGATTCAGAGACTTAAATAAATAGAATCAGAGATAAAGAAAGGACTTTAAAAAGGCCTCTTGTACACTTCCAGTTAACATAGAATCTTCAATGCAGAATGCAATCTACATTGTGCTAATACATCATTGTCCTCTCTGTTTTAATAACTCAAATAATAATAAGTCAAAGAGGCAGATATTAGCAGATTATTATGGAACAAGTTTTCATTATTTTACTTCTAAACTACATACTAAACTACACCCACACGCATAAAATAAGGCTATTCCATCTTTCAACATGATGTCTTTCTTTGTATTTGAAGTTGCCTATCATAGTTTCTTTTCTAAACATATTCAGCTCTTCCAAGCAATCCATAGATTTTTAAATCCCTCAAAGTCTTATCTCCCTCTTTTGAATGTCTCCAGATCTACTGATGTCCTGAAATGTGTTGTAGCACTCAGCATGGTATCCTGGATAGGATTTATGCACACAGCATAATAAAATCATCTATTACTTTCTTATGTTTCAGTTTATTTTTTTTATAAGTGAAATTTATTCTTTTAACAGTGAAACACAGAAAACTTCATCAACAGAAAAAGAAGTACAGCAAATGTGTACAACTGTATAACATATTTAGTATATAGAGAAATTAAAAAATATAGTAATTAAAATAAACTAAAAAAGCAAACTAGTAAATTTTGTAACAGTATAAAATTAATTCAATCCTTAAGCTTATAAATTAAGTATCAACATACTGGTTCATCAATAATATTACCTCTTGTGATTTGGATACTACTGTTCCATCAATATAGCTTAAGACTGCATTTGCTTGCTTAATAGCCATACCATATGGAGAGGACTAGAGACGTGAGGAGAATGGTTTGATTTATATCATTCTTTGCACTGGGAAAAGAATATAGAAACCTGTATGTAGCACTCTAGCACTCATTTTTTACTTCCAGAATAAGGTGGCTGGGGGAAGATGGGAATGAAATTAGGGACAAATAGATACCGTAAGTGATTGCAAGAATTATCATCATTCATTAAACCCTAAGAGGGGGGCCCAAAACGCCAACTTCCCTCAATCTAGTGAATATAATTGCATTAACAACAATGCCTTGCAACCATTAGCGTTCATAAATAAAAATGGAGCCTGGATGTAAAAATACTGCCTGAAGCAGACCAACTGAAGATAGCCTTCAGATGTTTTTCAAAAGAATTCCCATAAGTTCATGAAGACTAGGTTTGTGGCCTGGGACTGGGACTATTTTCAAAACATTCTAATGTTACTAGATCACTTAGCTATGGTTTCCCCTGACTATAACTAGTCAGATTTGCGCTAGTGGAAAACACACTGGCTTTGGGAAATCTGGCCACCTCTTTGGCCACAGCTAATGAGTGTCTGTGAAACCGCTGGACCTCTCTTGTTTGAGCATTCTGTTTTAAAAATATGAGCACTGAAGTGGTTGGGATTCTGTGGCTACATTCCCAGGCTTATGAGTCAGTTGGGATTTTAATTGCTGGGGGGAAAGGATGGCAGCATTTTTTCCTGAGGTGTGTACTGAATCATTTACCTTAGATTTAAACGAAATTCCATACTGTTGGATTGCTTCTTGCTCCATGTCTATCCACACAAACATCAACAAAGCCAACACCAGAGGGAAAAGAGCTTCATACCTATATCAGCACATATTTTGACAGCAAGTAAATATAAAGGAAATGATCGAAGGTACTGACATTATTTCTATCTACACGTAATCATGCTGTTTTATAAGAAATAATAACTAAGGGAGCAAGGTGAAAGCTAGTAGCTGTTCTGAAGAAAAAAAATATTACCAAATCCAAGTATCCAAGATACTTTATATCACATATATTTAAAATAATTGGAAGACATTGTACATCTATGGAATTTGAGCTATTTCCAAGTGTGAAAATGAAAATATACCATACTTCGAACATTTTATCTTATAGGATAAATGAAATAATATATTTGCACAAATGTGACAATATTCAATAAATTCTCACAACTGCATAACCTTCCGCAAACCCAAAGCAAATCTATACATACAGAATACAAGTAAAGATCATCTTGAGTCAAACTAGCCATCATACTAACAAATCTATGGTGTTTCTTTTGGAACATTATGGAACAGTTTGCCGTTGCCTTCTCCCAAGGCAATTTTCCTATTTCCCAGTCTACCCAAGAGGCCTAGAAATCTTGCTGGGCTTCCATCCAAATATTAACCAAGCCATAACCAGCTTAGCTTCCAAGTTCAAACAAAGTGCTGACACCTGTTGCATAGAATCATCAGGACTCAAACTCAATTCAAGGGCAACTTTATTTTTTATAGGAAAAAGGGAGAAAAAATACCCGGTGCTAAGGAGAAGATAAGTTGACATCAGAGAAAGAAGTATGCTCAGCAGCCTCAGGAACAGAAAAGTGGGACTCAGGAGTGGCACTATCAAGGATGAAACTGTAAGAAATAAAATATTAATTGTCAAAAGAAAAATAGTTTAGTATCTCTTTAACAACACCCTAAATTTGGAAGCCATGGATTACCTGTAAACTATTGGCTAGTTGGCATTTGCATTCCTGGAAATTACAGGACTGATACAGAAGAGCAAGAAGAGATCCACTTTCTATACCTTTTGATGAAACTGCATTGCAAATAGTTTATGCTGAGCACAAACAAAACAAGGGCAGTGAGTATAGCCATTCTGAATTTCAATCATGGAGGAGGATCAGGGGTGGGTTTCAGATCCTTTAGCAACGGGTTCACTGTCCCGTTGCTGGGTGGGCGTGGCAATGGCGCACATGGCCTAGTCAGCCACCTGCACTACGGCCAGGGGTGTTTTTGCCCTCCCCAGGTTCCAAAGGCTTTCCTCAAGACTCCAGGAGGGTGAAAACAGCTTCCCCTGGGCTCTGGAGGCCCTCTGGAGGCTGGAAACAGGCCTGTTTCCGGACTTCCGGAGCCTCCGGTAGGCCCATTTTTTGCCCTCCCAGGCCCTCCACGCAGCCCTCTACTTACCTGGAATTATTAACATGTCACGTGGAGACTCAGGGGAGGGGAGGGGTGGGCAGGGCAAGCCAGGAGTGGCATTTGGGGGGTTGCTGAACCCCAGCAATCCTTGGCTAGAGGATCATCCGAACCCTGCCGAACCCCCAGGAGCCCACCCCTGAGGAGGATGCTAAGTTGTGTTCAACATTTTCTTCCTCTTTAAGTGGCATTTGCATTGGGCAATTTGGAAACTAAAAATACAGAGGCCTGCAATATTTGCTTCAAACCAGTGCTCTAATGCCGGACAAAGCACAGAAAAGGAGACAACTTAGAAGATTTTTAAAAAGAGGAGGTATGAATGATCTAGGGTCATAAGACACCTGCCTCTTCTAAGTAGCATGGAAAGAAAACAAAGACCAGGGCGAAGAGATAGCAAAGTGGACTGGAAAGTTCTGTTTTAACGCTTGGAGCTTATATTGTTTTCCCACACGTCAGCTGGTAAGTGAGGAAAGTACAGAGGCAAAACTTTCAAGACCTTTATTCATGTTGGCACATAGCACGGAGAACATCTGATCAGGTTTCCACCAAGCCTCGTATGCAAGATCAATATTCAAAGGGAGATGGGACAGAACCTAAATCAAAGCAGTCAGGTGATGGGAGGTTCCTGACATCAAAAGACTAGGATTGTGCAACTGGAAAGAATCAGATGTCAAAGAGTTCACTCCATTGCTGATTAATTATTTCTCAAGCTTTAGTTACAAAAACAGAGTGAATATTATATTTTCTTAGGTTTGTTATCTACTTTCTTCAGGAGCTCACATCAGCATATGTAGCATTCCCTCTTCTGTTTTTCCTCACAAAATTACCCAGTGAGATAAAACTAGGGTGAGCTGAGTGATTGGCCCAAAGTTTTAATTTTAAAAAATTATTTCCTTTAAAACGTAGAAATAAAGAACGACAGAATTCAGAATTCAAACCAAAAAAAGAAGAAGAAAATACAAAGAATAAACACATCACAGATATAGAAAGCAATTTAATTTTAAACACAGTTTTAAATATGATCAGTCCTTCTAGACACAGAATCAATTAATAAGCAAAAGGCAAACACCTCCCACAACCCAAAACTCTGGAGTGGCCCTGTATCCAGTCAGTTTCTATGGCTGGGGTTAGATTAGAACTGAGAGCTGCCCAATTCTAGCCCTTCTTCATTGCCACCACACAACATTTAAGCCAAGATTCTATAATTAATTATAAGGATTGGAATTTATATAATTGCCTTAATTCATACGGACTAGTCAGAAAGAAACCAGGCTTCTGAAAATGAAGATCAGATAAGAAACCACAGCCAATCTCCCTATTTCTGAAGAAAGAACAGCCAAGCCAGATAACATTCTTTCAAGGTAGATTTCAAAAACCACTGGCCACAGTTAGGCCACAATCAGATTGTGCTGCAGCAAATACAGGTAGACCTTGACTTACGACCACAATTGAGCCCAAACTTCCTGTTGCTAAGTGAGACATTTGTTAAGAGAGTTATGCCCCATTTTACGACCTTTCTTACCTCAGTTGTTAAGTGAATCACTGCAGTTGATAAGTTAGTAACTTGGTTGTTAAGTGAATCTGGCTTCCCCATTGACTTTGCTTGTCAGAAGGTCCCAAAATCACATGATCTTGGTACACAGCAATGGTCATAAATATGAACCAGTTGCCAAGCATCTGAATTTTGATCACATGATCATGGGGATGCTGCAAAGGTCGTAACTATGAACAACAGTCATAAGTCACTTTTTTCAGTGCCATTGTAACTTTGAACGGTCACTAAATGCACTGTTACAAGTCGAGGACTACCTGTACCTTAAATATAGAACCCAAACACAATCTTAAAAACAATTAGGAACAACTCATATTTTGTTGCCCATTGCACTAAATAGCTCGCATGCTGATTTTAACTATTTTTTTTTTTCAGCAAGTGTTTCAACTAGCAAAATATTCTGGAAGAAGTTACAGCAAGAAACAATTTAAACCATTTCAGTGGGTGGGGAGTTTCGTTTTTGACTGCAACTTAGAACAGAAGAATACATTAAAATGTGTTTTTGACTAAGTTGTAGGGCCAAAATGAGGAAAAGCTGAAGCTACAGGTAGAACAAGGAAAAGGAAAAGAAAATTGCAATCCCGAGGAATAAGGATCTTGTACTTTAAATGAAATCCGGAATGTATTTGGGTAAGTGTGAGAACAAATCTCACCAGGTCCACCCTGGCTTATAGCTGTTATGAAACTTCTTATGCTTAACATGCCTCTTCTAGGTCTAATCATTCTCCAAATGTCAGATCTGACTCCTAGGAACTGATGGACAAAAGGCAAACATTGGGAAGGGCAGAGAAAACAGCAGCCAGCTTGAAGTGGCAAGAATGAGCTTTCAAAACAAACAAGCCTGGCCTGCAGAGTCTTTATGAAAGATCGGGATTGCCTGCCCTTAACTGGCAACAACAGGCAAAAGCAGAAACATCATGCACTACAATCACATATAAGAACAAGTATCAGCAAGCGCTGGCTTACAAAAACTTGGAAAATCCCCAGTTCAAATTCACATAATTTTCAAGTGCAGGAGGTGGACAGGTGGGAATTGTTAAGACACGGCCTTACGTTGAGGAATGAATGCTTTATTTTTATTAATCATCTTTTGTCGAGGAATGTATGGTTGCTATCAGCATCTGCCTGACTCCATTGCTATATGCAGCACTTAATAGAACATATTTATAGCATAGTGGATGTGGCTGTCCTGAATCCTGTTATGTTCACAACAACCTTATCTGGAAGATTAGGTGAGAGATTGTGAACTTCATAGCTGAGAAGAGATGGGCACTTATTATGCAACATTAATATATTACTATTTGTAATATAGAGCAGTTCTTTGGAGGTTCATTTTGTCTTAAATTACTATTTTTTTTTCAATCAGTAAATTAAACTGAGGAATTCACACCCCCACTATGCTTCGTTAGCTGCTTTCTCAATTTTTTGCAACTACCATAGTCCCAGGATCAATAACTGTAGCAAACTTAGTCCCTTAATCCACTGCTGTTTATGTTGAACCCCCTCAACACTTAGCAAAATCACTAATTAATGCAATCTCTCATCTACTTCAAAATAAATATTCATCATAGCATGTTAAGTATAAGTATACCGCCTTTGTCCCGAAGGACTCAGGGCGGTGTACAGCCTATTTAAAAACACAAGACAAACATCAATTAAAAATTATTAAATAAATTTGGCTCAATTTAAAACCCCAGATATTTAAAATACCCCAATTTAAAATTATTATGTTGATAGCCCAGCCTGGCGGAACAACAAGGTCTTCAGTGCACAGCGAAATACCCGGAGGTCGGAGATCTTACGTATTTCCGGGGGCAGTTCATTCCACAGGGCTGGGGCTCCCACAGAGAAGGCCCTCCCCCTGGGTGTCACCAGCTGGCATAACTTGGCTGATGGCACCCTGAGGAGACCCTCTCTGTGGGAGCGAACTGGCCGGTGGGAGGCTATTGGTGGCAGAAGTCGGTCTCGAAGGTACCCAGGTCCTATGCCATGTTAAATCTGCTTATAGTATTATAGGATGCATATGGATTCCTGTACTTATGTAATTACAAATCTTTATCAGAGTGCGATCCTTCAGATCATGTTTCTCAATGACAGAACATGTGCAGCAATAGCAGAAAGACCAGCAAACCAGCATTTCTTATATGTAGCTGACAGATCTTTATCCAAAATAATCTCTTGTCGAGAGAGGTAGGCTTACCCAATGTCATCCAGCTGATAACCTGATTTATTATAGGCAATCCTTGTTTGCTCTGAAGACTGCTATGAGTACTGTTCACAATGTATGTTGATGCCACCAGACTCAGCAACTAATAAAAAAATAATCAATAGCTCATCGGAACGGTTTCACTTTATTGCAGTCATTAAAGAATGCTAGCAAGACAAAAAATGGCTATTCGGATTTTCCCAAAGACTAGGCCTTTTTTTCAAAAAAAAAAAAAAATCTAGAATGTTAGCACTTTTGTAAGAATTATGATCAACTTCAATTGACGATTTAAATAAAAAGAAATTGTGTATGAGAGGAGGGGTAGAGAAACCTTCAAAACCACCCATTGCTTAAAATGTCATTTGATAATATATTCGTTAAGATATTGTATAACCCCATTGTATTTTGGATATCACCATAAATGCATTCAGGAACTGCCAGAGCAAACTGTTGGTTCATACTTGCATAACTGCATTTCATGCTTGATTTCCTCCAGACTGAATAAATAAGAGAAAAAAGCACTCAGGAGGGAGGCTTTCTACGAAGTTTATTTAAAAGGGTAATTTGTCAATAGGAGTCCATTTCAGAGTTACAGATTAGAGCAGTAATTAGAGGAGGTCATCAAACAAGGGCTATTTGGCATCAAGTTTTATGTTGGTTTATTGAACTTTGCCTGCTGTGTCATCATGTGACAGTTCATAGAAGCCATAATAAGTTGCCAGGCTGCCTGTCATTTTTCCCACTGTACCTATGTGACATACCGTAATTTGGACTTTAAACTTAAATACTAATAAAATGGCATAATGTTCGTATTTTAACTCTATTATAAACAGCGTATGCATGATCCAAAATCAATCTCTCTATACATTAAAGTGTCAAAAAAAAAGGATTGAAATAATTCATTGTTATAAAGCAGTTTCCTCACATAAGAGTAAGAGAACCAAATAAAAGGCACAATAAATTGGCACCAGTTATGCCAACCATAATAGGAAAGTGAAGCCAGTTTCTTAATGTACTTAGAAAGGGCCACAAAATAATGGTACAGAAGCTGGTATGTTTCATCCATAAGGACAAAAAACAACCTTACTGATCTCCCCTAACAAAAAAACAGCTAGTCTCGAGGTAAAACCATTTGATAAGTGACTGTTCAAAGTTACAGTGGCACTGAAAAGAGACTTATGAACATTTTTCACACTTACAGTATGACCCTTGCAACAATCTCATGGTCACATGATCAAAATTCGGGTACTTGGTAACTGGCTCATGTTTATGACGGTTGTAGAGTCCCCTTTTGCAACCTTCTGACGAGCAAAGTCAACGGGGAAGCCAGATTCACTTAACAACCGTGTTACTAATTTAACAACTGCAGTGATTCACTTAACAACTGTGGCAAGAAAGGTTGTGAAAGGGAGCAAAACTCACATAACAACTGTTTCACTTAGTAACAGAAATTTTGGGCTCAATTGTGGTCATAAATCAAGGACTACCTGTATTGGATTTTTATCAAAGGGGGAGATAAGGAGTTCATGTAGGACGCTTTTGGGTTAATCCAAGGCTCTTATAAAGATGAAATTATAGGATTCCCAACAAAAAAAAATGGTACATTTTTGTAATGTTTGTTTGGGCTAATCTAAGGTGATTAAAGATTAAAGTATATGATTTCCAACAAAAAAAATAGTATATTTTTGCAATGTTTCAAACCTTTACACAGTGATCCAAATATTGAAATCATATGAGAAAAAAAATTCAATATCTAATTCCAAGACTATAGCAAAACTATACAATGACAATTCTTTATATGTTTTAATCTCGATTAGTTTCTTTCAATTCCTTCATTTATCTTAAATTTACAGTGACATCTACTGGACATGTTTTAATCTTTAAAATAATGCTAAAACTAGCTCTTAATATTTCTTCTTCCTCAGAAAAGATGTACAGATAATCTTTTAACGTAAGATCATCAATTGTGAGTACTATCATTTTTCAGCCCCTCAACTCTATATACACAAACACAAAAAAACACTCCAACACAAATTTGAATGCAAAAATTATTTATGCCAAACTTCAATATATCCTTGATTTAAGACCATAACTGAACCAAAATTTCTGTTGTTAAGTGAGACATTTGCTAAGTGAGTTTTGCTCAATTTTACGACCTTTCTTGCTACAGTTGTTAAATGAATCACTGCAGTTGTTAAATAAATAACCTGGTTGTTAAGTGAATCTGGCTTGACTTTGCTTGTCAGAAGGTCACAAAAGGTGACCACATGGCCCCGGGAAATTGCAACCATCATAAATATGAGTCAGTTGCCAAGTATCTGAATTTTGATCATGTGACCATGGGGATGCTGCAATGGTCATAAGTGTGACAAATGGTTTTCCGTGCCGTTGTAACTTTAAATGGTCACCAAATGAACTGTTGTAACTCGAGGACTACCTGTAGTCCTATCTGTAAAAGCTCAATAAAAGGTCCCAGGTTTCTTGGTGTAATTGAGTTAATATCTTCTTTTAAAATTGTTGTGAAACATTATATATTCTTTACTGTTGTAACACCAAAATTTCTGTCTGCTTTATAACTGCTTTCCAGTATTAGCATTCCAGCATTTGGATTCTATGCAGCATATATTTGGACAATTTCTATAACATCACCAGAGGAACAATTTCTACCGCTGAATTAAGAATTTGTTGTTTCATTAAGCATTCCCCACATGGGATTCAGGAAAAGAAGGAGGAGAAGGAGTTGAGGGATACAGCAAAAGAACACTGAGATAATTTTTTTCTGGACATCCACATCTATTCCCTGGTCCATCATCACATACAACCTAGATATAGCGTCTTAGATGGAACCGCCTTGCTTGCCAGGTTAGCAAATCCCTTTTCCTAGGATTGTTTGACATCAGGTCATAGACGGTTTTGTGAGAAAATTTGTTTATACACCTGGCTCTCCTAGCTAGTGATGCTCCCTTTGGGAGAGCCATTTTGGAGGTAACATGAGTGAAGGCCACAACCCCAGTAATGTTGTATGAGGGAGTCTGCATGAGTAGATGATGCGAGTTGAGGGCTAGTTTCTCTACTGATTTTATTGATGTTTTGCTTGGTATCTTGAATAATGAGTTTGTTAATTGGTCAGCGTAAATTTTCCTAAACACCCAATCCAACCTGTTTCAAAAGTGATTCGATCTAACACATGAACTGTAGAAGCTCAGTGTGAGAAACTGTGGGGATATTGGAGAATAATAAAAAGAATATTAAACATGAGCAAACAATGTTTAAGGAGGGAATACACTCATAGCTTATCCAAGAAATTAAGTCAAAGTGGCAAACACTTGGAGGGGGGAAATGATTCAGGCTATTCTGAAAGTCTCCATCTTAATGAAGCTACTAGTAAATGAGGGTTGGAAAATTTTCTGGCCGTTTCTAAGATTTTGTATTTACCCCTAATTCTAGCATCATAGTATAACATTATTGTGAAGGGTTCTCCACTTGTCCAAAAGAGTAGTAGTACCTATGAAGGATTCCAGGTCTTAAAAATATCTAGAAAAGTATACGTAGAATTCATTTTGTTGTTTGGAGATGCTGGCATATAACTAGTGAGATCTGTTTTTTTTTTTTTTAATGTAAATTTGAAAAATAACTGAAAAGCAGTTGGTTAAAATTGATGCTGACCCAAAAATACACAAAGCTGATTTTTCAAAGCAACGGAAATTATACTTCTCAACAATGCATATTTATAGAACTTACTTACCTGAAATAGATATATTTTGAGATCTTTATGATGCAAATATTTATTTTTGCTCCTCCGAAAAAATGTCACTAGGTAGGACAAAGCTATCAATATAATTAGCAGGCCAGCTGCTGTTCTGTAAAAGATAAACTATTTGTGAGTGCTTTTCAAAGATGTTTCTGTAGGAATCATTTCATTAAAAAATTAAATTAATCACAAAAGTGCAACTATGCAACATGAATAAGACATTAATCTAAGCTCCAGGGAGTCAAAAAGAAGGTTCAAAACTGACGAGTCTATTAAGGATGATCTTCTGTCCTATCACAATTCATTATTACTTGGAATTATTTATGTGTAAATTGGGTGGCCATATAAATTTGCTTAATAAAGAAATCAAAAATAAATACACCAAGTTTTCAAACTTGCATTTGGTTTATTGCTAGTAGCTGCCCTTAAATGATCAGTTAATTATTTTTGGTAAAAAGGCTAATTCTGTTCCATTGCTGCTGATGCATTTTAAAACTCTGACCATCACTTTTCTAAACCACTGACTCTAAAAAAACATTAAGAAGGTTGGATTTTCTTCAGAATGGAGTCTTGGTGCTCATTAAAAAGATCTGTCACTAAGATCCATTATTATATTTATTTATTTGTATCCTACCATTAGGTAAAGGTAAAGGTTCCCCTCGCACATATGTGCTAGTCATTCCCGACTCTAGAGGGGCGGTGCTCATCTCCGTTTCAAAGCCGAAGAGCCAGCGCTCTTCTGAAGACGTCTCCGTGGTCATGTGGCCGGCATGACTAAACGCCAAAGGCGCACGGAACGCTGTTACCTTCCCACCAAAGGTGGTCCCTATTTTTCTACTTGCATTTTTTACATTCTTTCGAACTGCTAGGTTGGCAGAAGCTGGGACAAATAACGGGTGCTCACCCCGTTACGCGGCACTAGGGATTCAAACCGCTGAACTGCCAACCTTTCGATCGACAAGCTCAGCGTCTTAGCCATTAAGCCACAGCATCCCACAAAATCCCACCATTACCATTTTTAAAAATAACTCAAGGCATTGAACATATCTAACCACCTTCCTCCTCCTATTTTCCCCACAAAAACCCTGTGAATGAATTGAACCGAGAGTGACTAGCCTAAGGTCACCCAGCTGACTTTCACGGTTGGCCAAGGTAGGACTTTGAATTCTCATCTCCCACTTTCTAACTTGGTGTTTTAACCACTAGATAATAGATTAGATAATGGAATATCCCTAAAAAGACTTCCATGGTATTTGGAGTTTTAAGTTTCCTGCATCTATTTTACAGGATAATACATGCTTTTCATTTAAGAATGACATCAAGGGTGGTTTTTTTGCTGCTTCATATTTGTTTTTTCTTTTCCATTTCTATCTGATCCTATTACAGCCTCCTGCTGAAAAAGAACCAAATAAATTGTTCTCTGGTTCAGCATGATACTCATCACTTCTTTACATCTATTCTGAGAATGTAAGAGGCCTATGTGTAAACTTCTAGATCCATTTTTGTTCCAATTTTTTAAAAAATTGTTTTTCACTGATATAAGGGAAGCTCAAAAATAAGAGAAAAGGTCTACACCAGGAGTGTCAAACTCGCACCTCGCAGGCCAGATGTTTCAGGTGCTGGCCACGCCCACCTCCATTTTAGCAAAGGGGGGAAAGTTGCAATATGTCACGTGATGACAATGTGACGCCGTGAGTTTGGCATCCCTGGTCTACACTATAATTTTTATAGCCTATATAAAGTAGAAATAACCAGCAAATTATAATCTTCAGTTTGAAACAAGAATAGGAATCGGCAGAATTTCTGTTTCAGGAAGAATAAGTTTACAAACCCGCTATTTTAGAATATCTTTCTTTGAAGAAGAGAATGTGAAGCATTCTGATAATGAAGTTCTCATCTGAGAACTTCAAAAAGTTAGATCAATAATTACCTCTTTCTCCGCTACCATAATTATGTGACTTTAATTTTGGGTTTCAAGAATAAATTACTTGCATTCCGATAACATATTTCCCTTTTAGAGACAAGAATTAGATGAAATTAGAACATGATTACATGAAAGTGGTAACGTGAAGAAAGCTGATTCATACTTACACTAAAGAGATATTTGATTCTCTTCCTATCACTGGCATCAAGGGGAAGATTGCCAGGAGCAAACACGAGAGAATCCAACTTAGCACTGTTGCCTATGGCAAAAAACAAGTAAGTTACACATACAAATAGAAGTATAATGTTTAAACATTAATGTATGTAGGCAACATTTCAAATAAAGTTATAGAAATTTCTACCTAAAATTGTATGAATTCAAAATGTACATTTCTGATGTGCATGGGTGTATATAAAATTTCAATATTGCTTGAATGAATCACTAAGATAGTGTAGTGTAAAGTGTGGGGCAGGGTATTCGGCAGGCCAGGTAACAAGAGTAAGTGCTCAGCCTTACTACAAAGTGGTCAAAATGTGGAAATAACTGCCATTGATATAGCTATGTGCAAAAAAGGAATGGAGCCATCTACAAAAACATGCTAAACTCTTCCCTACTGACCTGAAATAGAATAATCTCAGAATATCTCTAAGCTATACTGCACTATTAATGATTTCATTGAGTTTAGTTAACAGATAAACAAATTTAGTCCAACCCCACACACAAGTCATTTCTGACAGATGGCAATCCAGTCCCTTCTTGAAAGCCTCCAGTGATGAAGCTCCCACAATGGTTGTCTCAAACTGAATCAAATTTCAGGACACCTGTATATTCTCTTTTTTATTACACTTTTCATTTCATTGTTTTACAGTTCAGATAAAAGCTAACTTGAACTGAACTCAAAAAAAAAAGGCAAAAAGAAAACCAGTATCAGAGCATATTAGTACTTGAATAAGAAATCATAAATAAATCCCAAGACGATAGGCTAAACTTGGAAGTCAAAACACACATTTGAAAAGGTAGCACTTCTGTCTGTTGTTAAGAAAGTTAACACAGTCACTGTGACTGGAGTTTGACTTAAAGAACTCTTTACTTTCCCCTTCAAATAATTTAGGCCGTTGTACAGATGCTCTTCGATTTACCACTATTCATTTCATAACCATTCAAAATTACAGTAGTGCTGAAACAAGTGACTTATACCCAGTCCTCGCACTTATGACTGTTTCAGCATCCCTGCAGTCACATGATCAAAATTCATACACTTGGCAACTAGCATGCATTTATGATGGTTGCAATGTCCTGCGGTCATATGATTACCATCTGAAATCTTCCCAGGGACTTCAATCAAGCAAATTCAATGGAAAAAGTTGGATTTGCTTAATAAGGGAATATAAAAAAGTTTGTAAAATCAGGTGCATCACTTAGCACTTATGATCACTTAGCAACAGATATCCTGGTTTTGATTGTGATAGTAAGCCAAGGATTATCTTTATATTATTACAATAATTAATAGAAAGAATTCTGCCCCATTTTAAGACTTTTCTTGCCACAGTTGTTAAGTGAATCACTGCAGTTGTTAAGTTAGTAACCCGGTTGTTAAGTGAATCTGGCTTCCCCACTGACTGCTTGTTAGAAGGTCACAAAAGGAAATCACCTGATCCTGGGACACAGCAACTGTCATCAATATATGTCAGTTGCCAAGCATTTTAATTTTGATCATATAATCCTGGGGATGCTGCAACAGTCATAACTGTGAAAAATGGTCATAAGTCACTTTTTTTCAGTGCCACTGTAACTTTGAACAGTCACTAAATGAACTGTTGTAAGTCAAGGACTGCCTGTAGAAGCATCCACCTATTATTACCTTAAATGTATCTTTGCCATTTGGATTCCTTTATTTACATATCAGTGACATGATCCTTTAAGAAGATCATGTCACTGAAGCATAGAATGTTTCACGAAAACCACTCCCATTTAAAACTAGGTTTGAGACCAAGGTTTCCAAAATAGTGTACATGACTTGCAAGAAGGTAACTATGGCTAGCAAGCTATCAAAAGGCAGATAACTGTTTGCTCTTCCAGATATTTCCTATGCATTTGCAAAGAACTGCTTTTTTAATTTAAAAAAGTATTCATGAACTTTAAATGGAAGTGTGCATTTCTCTGGGGCAGTGACCATAACCATTCTACCAAATCTCCCTATGCAGAAAATACCTTTGCTTGGATCCACAATCGAATGACCACAGGCCACACAGAAAACGCAATCAGGCCAAAGGTGAGAGTGGAGCGATAGAAGAAGGAGAAAACCTAATTCACACAAACATATACAAATGGGAGGGGAAAAACCCAGATATAATAAAGAATTCATATTCTCCTCAGATGCAAAATTTCATAATGATTTTTAACTTCTCAAAAAATATTTTTTATTTCATCCTTTTGTTATTTTGTTATGTGTTTTTATTTTAATCATCCGTATCTTTAAAAATTATACACAAATAATATTAAAAGGCTATTAGCCGAACTACTTACTAATATTTCAATCCCCACGACATATATTACTAAGAATCCAGCAAATTGAGTCCGCTGAACATCCAAGAGAAATCTGATCAATACATGAATAACAGGGTATCTAGAAGAAAACATTATGCTAAATAAATTTATTAGATCAAAAACTACATAAAAATAAGAAATAAAAGCGAAGCAACATTTCCCAATTGAGAGGGATGGTATATTCTAGCATAACCAGGGGTCGCTAGATTGGGAAGATTGAATTAAAAACGAACATGAACAAATTTCTCCAAGGTAGTTAAATTCAAACTATCTGTCAGGGATATCTGCTTTATCTATGCCAGAGATTTCCAACTTTCTAGTTTATGGTGCCCCCTAGTGTCTCAATAATTTTTTGACAGCGTCTCTAGTGGCTCTCAAACCTTGTGCTATGGCATCCAAGAGCACTACTGTGAACTCATTACTAGTTCGGTTTCTTAAATAGTAAAATATCCTGTAAATTCCAGGGTAGAACAATTCCAGGGTAGAACAATGGTAGAACAATAGATGTAGATCTATTCCATCAGTATTCACAAAAGTACATTTCATAAAATTGAAACACAACTTAGTAAGTCTGCTTGTCACAGAATGCACAAAAGGCATTATCTCCTAAAGCGAGTCAGAAAAAAAACTTCCAGTATTTAAGACAGCACAATCATTTTGGTAACCTACAGAGGATGCAATTAATCTTAGTTTGCTGCACTTTCTGAAGTAAAGTCAGCATCCCTAACTTTTGAACACACAGTGAGACTCAAGATCAGACGTTATTGATCTACCTGGTAGATAACTTCCTGCTGCTTCAGATGCCAACATCCCTTTCTTTCATTTTCTTGCTTAGTAAAAGTCCGTGTGAATCTACTATAAATATGTATCTTTTAAAAACCTCGGAAACCCTAGCATCCATCACTTCACATACTAATCTTACATTTTGAAAGCAGCACGTACGGAATGTGAAAGGTTTTAGAAAACCACAAAATGAAATGATAAAACCCAAATGGCTTCAAATCCAGGAACATGGATACATTCTTCCCCTTTACACACACAGAGACAGACAGACAGAGACAGACAGACAGACAGAGACAGACTTATTCATTTATTTTTAAAACCTTACTCTTTTAAAACTGCATACCATACAGGGACTGGTAATAGGCAATATATGTAGTAGGTCCAAGGCAAGCTTTGAATGAAGAGAAAAAAGGCTATCAAAACTCCAACAGCAGCAAACACACCCTGGAAAAACTTGTCAGGTGCCTGAAAATAGAAATGTTAATGTTATTTGCTTATTGTCATACTGTAAATATCTACTTAAACGTCTCCAAATATTCACCAGGTTTTGCAACATACAACAAATATAAAAATCATCTCAGTGTAATCCATGCAAGCTCAGACCAACATTTTTTGGCAGGAGGCCCCAGTTACCATTTATCTACCTGCTCTTAGATGCAAATCAGAAGATTCACTAAGATTATTTTCCCTGCAAGGTCAGAGAACTAAAGTTTGCTCTTTTCCATAGCAAACTCTGTTTGCTTCCACCATACAGAAATAAGAGTAAAGCTCTTTCACCAATTCAAACAGAAATCTATCCATAAATTCCTCAAGTAAAGGGGACAATCAAATACATGTTGACATGTGGACACTCAAATACAAAACATATAATTTTATCAGCTTTATATGATTAATTAATTAATATCTTTTTGGATGATTTTTTATAAATAGTTTTGTACCCGAAGCAATGATGGTGATCCTATAGCCATCCAAATGTTGAACTATGGACAGTATAACAAGATTGTTGTGAGCTGTAATTCAGCAATCTCTGGAGGATTTCCCATTTCTGATCTAAATATTCAACAGGTTACAAAATGTAATTCCAATTCTCAATATATTTTAAGGAAACCTAAAAAGGAACTTCTTTCACGGCAGATTTACATTTCCAAAATTTCCATTTTCAAAAACATTTTATAGGTTTTTCTATACTGAACGCATAGGCCAAAAATTCCAGTGCTAAATCTTTGTAGACAAAATAGATTCACTTATGAAGTAAGCTGTCATGCATGGCAAACCAAAAACGTACCTTATTTTTTGATATACCCCTGGTCATGCTTGTATCTGACTTTATTATAATCAGAATTGCATAAAATGTCCAGCCTACAAAACCCATGGTGATACTCATGCCAAGGAAAAATCTGTCATATGTATGGTAGTAAGAGAGCCCATCTAAAGCAAGGTTGATCAGCTTTCTACACAGGGATATCTGGAGGGAGGAAAAAAAGCAAACAAACATTTTAATGAGGTTTTAGCTCAAGCAGATTGGTATATGGGAATTCTTCTCCATGAGCATAATTTTGCTGGATCTTTAATACTGTTTTATCATCTGCATTATCCTTGATTTGTTTTTGCATACTGCAAAATTTAAGTGAAAACTGTTTCACTTAATAACTGAATTTTCATTTCCAGTTGTGGTCACTAAATAAAGACTGCCTGTCAAGGGGAAGTCTTATAAATGTTAAAGAAGACCCAGTATTGACAGATTCAGAGTATAGGTATTTAAGAAGAGAATGAACAGTCACTTGTCTGAAATGGTACAGGTTCTCTCGCTTGAGCAGGGGGCTGGACGAGAAGACTTCCAAGGTCCCGTTCAGCTCTATTCTAAATTCTATTGCTCTTAACACAGAATTACAATAAGGGCAAAGTTTTTCAGAATGGAAAACAGATGCTTTTTTTTTTTTTTTTTTTTATTGAAAAGGTTTTCAAATACAAATTTTTCCCCCTTTTCCCCCCCCCTCCCCCCCCTCCCTAACCCCCCCTCCCCACCCTTCCCCCCCTGTGACTTCTTCGTAACAAAAAAAAACCCTAATTCATAACAGATTACTTACTCCCTCCTCAAAATACTGACCTTTACTTACTAAAAGTATTATAAATCCCCCTTTATCCATACATTTCAGAAAAGAAGAAGAGAAAAAAAAAACAAAAAAAAACAAACACATTATACTATAACTATTATAAAATAACTTCTAATTTAGCATAATAGTGTTTTATATCTATGCATTATTGCAACAATTCAAAACCACCTTCCACTTTAAAACTATACAATAAGTCCTACTTTAATAACATTTCAAAGCGGGCTCCCCATAAAATCTAATTTAACATTTATTCCACTCTATCCATTTCCTCCACTCCCCTAAATGTATCACTTAAAAATCCCTTTTCTTAAACTAATCAGTCTGTAGCTAGCTTATTCACCCACTGTCTTACAAATTTACCATACACAACAATTCTTGATATCTTTAATTCACTGCCCACACTACTTAAAAATATATATATATATATATTCCATTATATCTAAATAAAAAAAGAAAAGACAATAACTTTAAATTTATAGTCCATATAATATCTTCTTGAAGTCTTTCCACTGGATTGTTAAAACCAACATCCATAATAGGGTAACATAGCTTGCGGATGCAACAGTTTATTCAAGATCTCCAATCATATCTGCCCCCATCAGTAGTAAACATCTTCTTATATATATAAAAGTAAAAACAACCACCCGAGTGACATTATAATTGTATTCCATATAGTAATAATTGTGGGTTTCATCAGGATTATTAATTTCCATCATCGTATTGGGTAACAACCCGATCTTCTGCATGTCCCAATGTGATTCTCTTGCCTTATAATTCAAGATAATTATAATATATTTATCAACACAAAAAGAAGTTTCAAAGTAGATAATTCAAAACCATCAATTTGAGGCTCTTTCCATGTCCCAAAATTACGGCAATGCAGAGATCTGCCACTATCCTCAGGATGATATTGACCAATATGTCGCCTCCTCTATGTTTTCACATAATCATTCATATTTTAAAATCACTGGCTTCACTGTTGCTTGGGTTAGAAATTTCTATTTTTGTACAACCTATTTCTTTTTTTGTTTTCTTTTTGTGGGTTTGACCTCCATCCTAATTTTTTGTGTCTCGCATTTCTTTTTTATCCCTTGTATATCCTCTAATTGGTTTCCATGCTTGTCCTTGCCTTGATAAGTCATCACATTAAAATCAGATGGCACTTCTCTCAAATTTGTAGATAATCCAGCTGGGGTATCCGATAAATCCAAAGGCAATTTATCTGGTACAGTCTCTGTCTTTAGTTCCAGCTCCTTCTGCTTATCCTGTATTATATCTGAAGACGTTAAATTCATTTTCAACCTATTTTGATAAAATTCTTCCGCTCTTTCAACAGTATTTAACTGGTATCTTTCTCCTTGATATCTCAATATAATACCAACTGGGACGTCCCACCGGAATTGAATATTTCTCCTTTTTAACTCAGACACCAGAAAGCCAAATTTCTTCCTTTCCATTAATATCTTAGGTGGGAGTTCCTTGTAAATCCAAATCTTTCTTCCATACAATTGCAAATTAGAATTGAAGGAATTTTGCACAATTTTATTCCTAATTTCTTTATCTGAAAAATAGATTACCACATCTCTAGGCAATTGCCTTTGCTTGGCAGTCCAGGAGTTTATTCGATAAGCTCTGTCAATCCTACAAAACACTTCCTCAGGTTGAATCTTTAAAATCCCAGCTAGAAATTCAGAAGATATTTTCCTTAAGTCATCTCTGTTATTTTCCTGCAAACCTCTAAGTCTTATTGCATATTCTGTGAAATTATATTGTATCTTTAGAACCTCTTTTTGAATCCTCTGTTGCAGATATTCTACATTACCAGACTTTTGGTCAGCATCCATTTTAAATTTTTCTTCTGAACTATAATCCTGAATATTTAACAAATCATTTTCAATTTTTTGAATTCTATTGTCCAATTTATCTTGAATTTCATCCATTTTTGACTCTAGTAAATTAGTATTTGTATCCAACCGAATCATGAATTCTGACAATTTTAAAATTTTTTGCTGCAAAAAGTCAAACTTGGATTTCACCAATTCCTTAGTTTCCTGCTTAAATTTTTCAAGTTGCTGATTCACAATCTCATCCCTTCTTTCAATCTCCTCTAAGAGAAATTCTATTATATTAAAATCAGGTTTCTGGGACTGAAGAGTTAAAACTTGTTCCTTTAAATTCTTAGTGGGGGAATCCCCCCCACCTATTTGTTTGTCTAACTTCACAAGCCTCAGTGCCATGTTTCCGCCTAAGCAGGCTTTGTTAGAAGAAGAAAAAAAAAAAAAACAAGACAAAAGACTTCCAGCCAGCAACACTCAAGCCTCCAGGGAAAAAAGAGAAAAACAAAAACAGGAGCGGAGTTTTGTCTGCAAATGTAGCCAGTGGTATTTATTCCGCTACATTGTAATAATAAAAAACGGAAGAACTTTCCCTCTCAAACTCTTCTCCAGCCGCGGCAGACGCCATTTTAAAAAGAAACTTTTTTCCTCTTTCTCTTCCTCTATTCTCTTAAGTAATTTTTAAAAGATAAGTAAAATACTTGCGCTTCAGTATTACAGGTCCAGCTCACATTTTCTTTGAGTAATCTGTCAAATTCGCAGGCTTGCTTTTGACGCCTGGCTCTGCATTAGCAGAGGTCTCCCAAAGCCCGGAGCAGCGGCTGGGGATATGGGGCATCTCATCCGCTCCATCCCAAAAGTAAAAGAAAAACTTTTGGGACTCTGCAGAGAGTTCTACCCACCCCTGCCGGCTCTATCTCCGTTTCCTCATGGGAACGGAGTTTTTTCGAGCCGCCGTTCCGTTGTGAAGGCGGCTCTGACAGGCAGTGGAAGCTGACGATCCCAAAGGAACGTCTGGCGGCGGTCAGCAGCAAACAGGAAGTCCGAAAACAGATGCTTTTATAAGACTATCTGAGATTAAATGTATGCTCACATATTAGAAAAGTATCATTACACCATTAGATAATGGACCAAAAAGAAAAACAGCAACATTTATAACATTAAGATATAAATATAACAAATTTATCACACATAAAACCAAAAGAAATAGGCTCATTGGAGTTACTTACAGCTTCCTCATATTTTTCATGTTGAATAAATATCCTTGTTTTTCTCAGAATATCAATTTGCTCTGATTCAGAGAGAGACCTGTGCAAAAGAGAATATTTTAATATATCACTTTTATTACTGTTTTTGGAAAGATGGAATAAAAACCACAACTTTAAAGATGCTTTTAAAAGCAATCAATTGAACCGGTTCACAGTATTCTTATTGATAAATCAGCTTCTAATAAATACGTATTTATCAATAATTACTTTTAATCAAAAATTAGAATATCTCTGAAGTACTTTTAGCAAAGAGATTTGATATAGCCCAAACAAAAGTTTCTGGAGAAATTAAGGAGCCCAAAGGGTCTGGTTCAAAAGAATCAAGTTCTACAAAAATAAAGTATATAAAACAGAATATTACACGGCATATTATTTTATAGAGCTGAATGTCTTAATAATTGCATATATTAAGAATATGATTAATCTGGATCATTGTGACTAATGCTAACTAGATCTTTCAGCTCACTGAACTTATATGCAATGATCATAGACTTTAAAACTGGATTGACAACTCCGCTGAACAGAACCTGCTTAGTTTCCAAAATATAAATTGCAATGTGTGGACAATTAATTACAAGATTAAACAACAATGTTCATTGTACAATGCTTTGTAAATTGTCCCTTATGAGATGCAATGTATTCCTATGAGGAGCATAACTGACAAAATTATTATTTCTATTACATAATTTCCATTAGAAAAAAATCTTGATAGTCCACAACTCAAATTTGCAATAAAAATATATCATTATGATAAGATCAAGAAATTGTGTCTGATCAATGTTTGCCATCACTATTTTTAAATGCACTATTTCTATGGGGGTCATTTTCATGCCCATAATTGCCAACAATTTGCTAATACAATGAGTTTGACAGCAGGAGACCTCAGAATTTCTTGCTATTGCTTGCTATTGCTTGCTTTTTTTCTTTTTTTTTGGATTAAGCCACATTGCTCCATGCGGTTTTAGGTCACAATATTATAAGGCCTGTATTTTATTTTATCTATACTATTCACATTTATATGTGAAGATGTATTAACTTTTCCCACTTCAAATTATTTTAAATGTTGTATATTGAAGTTTTAAATAAGTAGATCATTTTAGAAATCAAAATGGATTCTGTTGTAGTTAACTTTCAGCCACAATTTAGCATTTAGGTTACAAAAGGAATAGCCATACATGCATATGCATGAATATTCATAAATTACAATAAATAAGTAAAAACTAAAATTTAACATGCAATATCAAAAAAAGAGCACATGCCTAAGCTTAAAGATAAAAAATATTTTCTTTGGACAGGAAATTAAGTTCTTGGTATTCATAATGATTCAAACGCCGTAAGTACCTTATGATAATAAACATATTTTTAAAAGATTCAGAAGAAAAACAGTAGGTCTACTTGCATATTTCTCTACTTTGCACTTAAATTTATTTGGGATTCAATTAAAGACTAGAGGAAGGAAAATGTGATCTGTAGTGTCTTCAGCCAGTGCATATATTTCTTTTTAGAACAAATATTCACCTGGTTATGTGGCAAAGGCAAAGGATCAGAAAAATGAATTAAACCATTGCTTGTTTCAGATAGGAATAATGAATGGCTATTTAAATATTTGTTCTTTATCTAAATATCAAGGGGAAAGACATAATTAAGATTTATTTCCCAGTCCTACAACTCAGAGAATTATATTGTTAAAAAAGAGAAAGAGTTAGGGAAATTCTCATCTCTTATCAAATAACAAGTTATTGTCTCTGAAACACCACAGTGAAATATGAACTTTATTGAAGATTATAAGCCTCCCAGAGTTACTCGAGGTAAGATAGGCAGCCTATAAATTAAATACATACATACATACATACATACTTACATACATACATACATACATACATAATTTACATACATAATCAAAGAAATAAACAAACAAACAACCACTTGTGGAATGTCAGATATTGCTAAGCTACAAATATCCCTGATTTATAAGGTTTTTTTTGTCAGGTTTATTAAGATATATTATAAGCTCTGATCAGTGGTAGGATTCAAATAATTTAACAACCGGTTCTCTGCCCTAATGATTTCTTCCAACAACCAGTTCATCATACTGCCCAGAAAGTTAACAACCGGTTCTCCCGAAGTGGTGCGAACTGGCTGAATCCCACCACTGGCTCTGATACTTTTGAGGAGTCTATAAATCCTAAGTAATATATTAATAGTAACAAAATCCTATCTTTTATAAGTTTTGTAATTACTTTGTTTTAAATACTGGTTTATAAAATTCCCAAGCTTGCTGTTCTTGTCTAAAGATTAAAGATTGGGAAAGGTCTAGTTCACTGAGCAAATTAATTATCAGTCAAGCAGAAACTTTCTCGCATTTAAATTGCATCATAGCTTCACTTTCCCTTTCAATCATGTCTAGAAAGAAATTCAGCTAGGGCTCTGGTTTTAAATTGTGGGTTCTATTTTTTTGATTCCCCAAATACTAATCTTGTCCAACTTTCATTTATCTGACCATCTTAGTTTCAGTATAATATTCAGAAGATTTCATTCCTTTTCATTCCTTTATGACTGGCTTAAAAAGATACATTCTAAGAATGGAACATGTACTTACTTAAATGGCGAAAACAAGAATGATAATGTAGTTTTCTTCTTCTGAGCCATCTTAACCTGAACACATAAGAAAAAAATAACCAGCATTGTTAATAAAGTAATTTTCTATAAAATGAATGACTGAAACAAACAGTATGATCTTCATTTTGTTCCTCCCCAATAGATCTCTTCCATTGTTTGATTATAAATCAGTTTTTCTCCCCTACAGATTGTCTAATTTGAGACTGCAATTATATGTATATTATTATTTTGGCTTAGGACTATACATTGAAGAAATAATTAGTAAATAAACACATTAAATGAAATAGCAAGAAGAGAGGATTACCAATCTTATGTAAGCATCAGATTCAGCATCACTTTTAGGAATCTATAACCTACTGATAATTTTCTAGATCTAAACCAAAGTCTCATAACTCGAGATGCTTTACATGCTAAAAAATGGAAAGCTTAAAGAATAAAATAAAAGAACAAAACAGACATGCATCCAGAATTAAATAACGTCTCCCAAACTTCCTGGAAACTACCTGATTTATCCTAATAGGCCAATGTAATAAAAGTTGCAGACTCATAAATCAATACCTGAAATTGGAAATTACAAATGTTTTTAAAAATAAGAAAGATATGCTTTGTCTCTTAAAGGATTAGAAGTGACAACTAATCGTAGCTAAGATAAATAACAATACCATTTATGTGTGAAAATAATTAAAAATTAATAAATTAGTAACATATATCTTAAAGATCGAAGTTAGCAGTAGTAAAAGTAGTTCACACAGAACAATTTATTACCCAAAACCCTTCTCAAATTAAAGTCTTTGAATGTGGATAAAAATAATTAAGAGGGAGCAAGGGCTTTTTAGCAAATGATTTCCAAAATTCACAGGATTTATTTCCTGATTTCAGGCAAGGCTTCCATGATAATATTAATTACTAGATCTTCACACTGGAGGAGCTTATTGTCCTTGAAGCATCCTGCTGTCAAACAGTTTAAAGAGCTAAACTCCATTTTGTGTATCGAGAAGCAATAAATAGTGACAACGGAAATTTAAACGTCAACTCTTAAATCATCTCCTAGTGGTTGGAATAGGAGGCATGCCAGTCCTAATAACATCAGAATTCAATTATAGGAGCAATTCTACACCTTGATTAGAATGCACTGCTTTCGATGACATCAATTCACATCAATTATGCAAGTTCGACCCATAGAAATTACCGTAAATTCTATGTCTTAATAAACAAGTTCCATGAAACATTTAGATTTTTTTAAGACAATGGAAAATATTGGCTGTCCCAGTTAAAAAAAAGTTTTAAGGATTTAAGCTAGTTTTTCCATAATACTACTGTTTTTGATTTAGCAATAATCCTACCATCACAGTAAATTATAAGTACGGTCTACTCTATAACTTGCTATGCTGTTTCTATTTCTGCTATGACAATCTAATGTTTCTACTGGAAATATCCATATGAATGTGCAGTTTACACCTTTCAGCAATAGCTTACATACCTTAAATTGTTCAAGAATCTGGACAGCGTTGGTAAGCATGCTCTCTGCCTTAAAATGGGAAGTATTATTCAAGTATTCAAGAGGTAAAACACCCTGGGGAGGCAAAAAAGCAGAATTAATATTTAGCAGCATAATCCAGGGCTAGAAAAGCAAGCATTTTTACTACAATCTAGGAACTCTTACAGTACATAAAGTAAAACAGCATCTTCAGAATTAGAGAACCATATTATTCACAATGAATTAGTATACACCTTCCACTAACAGCAGTGCAAATGCCAGGTTTGAAACGGACCCTCCGTGCATATTGAAGAAAAACAAACTGTCCAGAGAACGTTATGGAAGACTGACCCTTTTAGATAACTTCCCAAAAATAAATGGGTTTAGCTAGCCCATTGTGAGAGAGAGAGTAGATGGTCCTCTTGCATATCAGATAGAAGCATCGTGGTTTACAAATGAAGCTCCCTTCTCTCAGAAGTTGTTTACTGATTCACAATATTTTAACCTGACTTCTCCTTATAAAGGTTGTTTGATAGATGCGACAATTATTAGGCAAGTGTTTTGCTTATTAAAGACTGAAGACACAATTTCTCTGTTCCATAAGCTGCAACATTAGAAATTTCAGGTCACTTCATGTGGCACTATAATTTCATGAGAGTCAGCTGCTATGAAGTCGTAAAGAGGGTGACTGTGATTTGAAGAAATGATTCAATTATCAAATGAACGGATTATTAATCTCCATCTCTCTCTCACACACACTCACACGAAGCAATAATTATCTGAGCCCTCAATAAAATACAATTTTTCCAAGTGCACATAGATTAAAGCATGAGAATGACTAAGGTTTCTTCCCCAAAGGTAATATAAACCAACTTTTCAAATGTATAATTTCTCCAAAAAGTATGGGTTATTTTTAATTTAGCTGTTAAATTTATACCCGCTTCTCTAAAGTCCTCTCTTCCCCCTAAAACAACAAGCCCATGAAGTAGATTACAGAAATAATGACTGGCCAAAACCTCTCAGTGAGTTTCAAGGGCCAAGAGAAGACTTGAATTTGGCTCTTCCTAGTCCTGGTTCCTCACTTTCCTATTACATCACGGAATATTTCTTCTCAATTCCTGGCTCCCAGAAACAGTATTCAAGTTAACCAATAAGTAAAAGATCCAAAGATATGACAACATAGATGAAATTGGATGAGTAAGACTGGATAAGACTTAAAATTGGAAGGGTTATTATGAGCAGCAAAAACTGTAATCCCAGAGCTTCCCAAAAAAATAGATGACAATCCCTCTTATGAGGGAATGGCTTAAACTATATTCAATGGAAGGAGGTAAAAATTGACTGCAGTTAGCAAAAGTGTTAGGAGAGAAGGATAACTTGCTCTACCTAAAAAAAAATAAGGTCTCTCTGTTTCTTCTAAAATATTCATGATTAACATTCACTTCTACAGGAGAAAAAAAATAGTTAAACATGTCTAGGTTGCCTAGTCTCATAGAAAAATACTTTAACATCTAAAAAAAAGAAACCATCACTATGCAGTTTCTACATTAACATATATATTGTCATTCAAAAAGGTTTTCCTTTTGCGCATGTCCAAGATGGCGGCGCCCGCTGGGATGGCGATCTGAGGATGGGGCGCCGACCTACCCTTTGGGTCCTTTGGGGGTCGTTTTGAAGATCCTCGACCCCAGGACCTGTCAGGGGAGCTCCCGGCCAGCACGGAGAGGGTTTTCTTTCCCTCCGTGACTGAGCCGAGGGGAAGGGGCGATGCGTGGAGCGCCAGGCTGATCAGCTGGGCGTCGGCAGCGTCGGCAGCGTTTCTTTCACAGCCGGAGCCATCAATTAGTGGGAGCGGCGCTGTGCCGGGGGGCGCCCGCCGCGCGGCAAGTTTCGAAGCCCGGGGGGGTGGCCCGAAGTGCTACACGATGTGTCGGGCACCCCCTGAAGACCTCTGGGACGTCGCCAGGCTCTTTGGGGGCTGGCAACGATGGCGCGGTGGTGGCGGCGATGGCGGTTGCGATTTTTGGACCTGACCCCCGGACGTTGTTTATATGCATCGGTTCATTGCTGCCACCCCACCACAAGAGGGGGTTGTCCAGCTGACCTAACCACCGTGAGAGGGTGGTTAGATCTATTTCCCCCTTGGAACTGTGATCGTCCTGGCTTTGGACTATGTCCTCTGTTGTGAGGGGACAGGGGACTTGGTCCTGCAAATATGTCTCTGAGATCCCCCATTCCTTTATCTTCTCCTCGGTCCTTTATATACACCCTCAGGATATGGTCGTGTTACCCATTATGATTAATGTACTCAGCAGCGGAGCTTCTTGGTCTGCGAGACTCCCCCCTCTCGCAGGCTTGGCCCTCCATTCTATCGAGGGCCTACCTCGATGACGGGCTCTGGAGTCCCGAGAGGTGGCATGCCGCAAAGAGGGGGCTGCGGGGTTTTTTAAAATTGTCCTTGTTTAAACTTTTAAGGGGTTCTGGGAGGGGGGAGGGGGGTGGGATTGGAATTAGGATTGTGGGTTTGGGGGATAACCCACTAGGGGGAGAGTCGGGCTTGGCCAGGACGTTCGGCGGGGGTGGTGGGGGATCCGGAGGGGGTCGAGCTGGTCCAGACTATGCTTTCACCATCGGTACTGTGTGTGGGAGGGGTAGATATGGCGGGAGCAGGGGGCCATATCATGTTAAGGGAGCACGCACCCGCTGTCTTCAAGCGGTAGAGTGCTCCGGCCCCCAAGGCTCCACCCGTTCTCCAGGTAGTACAGACCTTCAGGGCCCGGGCCTTCGTCTGATGTTGTGCAACGCCAGGTCTGTAGTAAATAAAGCCCCCCTCATCTGTGATCTTGTTTACGAGGGGGGAGCGGACCTGGCGGGTATTACGGAGACCTGGTTGGGCCCAGAGGGAGGGGTCCCTCTGGTAGAAATGTGCCCACCAGGTTTCCACGCATTCCATCAGCCAAGGTCACAGGGGAGGGGCGGGGGAGTAGCGGTTATTATTAGAGAAGGCCTTAGGCCGAGGGAGACCACTGTACCTCAGACAGCTGGTTGTGAGTCCCTCCTTGTGAAGTGGGGCCACGGGGTTCAGATGGGTTTGCTGATCACGTACCTGGCTCCCTGCCACGTGGCGGCAGCCCTGCCCGAGCTACTCAACGTTATTGCCGCGGTGGCGGTTGATACCCCCAGACTTATGGTCATGGGGGATTTCAACCTGCCATCCGTGGGTGAGGCGTCTGAGGTGGCTCGGGAGTTCATGGCTTCCATGACGGCCATGGACCTGACCCAACTAATTCATGGCCCTACGCACACTGGGGGAAACACACTGGACTTGGTTTTTGTCTCTGGACAGTGGTTGAGTGATCTCGAGATAGGGGATATAGTCATCGAGCCCTTGTCATGGTCAGATCACTCGCTCCTTCGCCTTGACCTTCGAACCGCAGCACCCCACCGCAGGGAGGCGGAACCGGTAAGATGGTACCGCCCCAGGCGCCTGATGGAACCTGATAGGTTCCAGATGGAGCTTGGGCCAATCCCGGAGGTTCTGGCTCACGCCTCATCTGGGGACCTAGTGGCCTCCTGGGATAGGGCGGCTGCTGGAGCCCTGGATCGAGTCGTGCCTTTGCGGCCTCTGACCCGGCGCCGATCTCGCCTGGCTCCTTGGTTCACCGAGGAGCTGAGGGAGATGAAGCGCCGGAAAAGACGCCTAGAGAGCTGTTGGAGGGCTAGTCTTTCTGAATCTGACCGAACACTGGTAAGATCTCATATTAGGAGTTACCTAGTGGCGATAAAAGCAGCAAAATGTACTCATTTTGCTGCTCTTATTGCGTCATCAGATAATCGCCCGGCCACCCTGTTTAGGGTGACCCGCTCCCTGCTCCACCAGGAAGCGCGGGAGGACCCCTTGGAGGGAAGAGCCGAGGATTTTGTTCAGTATCTGTATGACAAAATCACTCAGATTCGGGCAGGTCTGGACTCTGACGGGATAGATCCAGCGAGGGTGACGGAGACAGGTTTTGAGACTGTTATCTGGGATGAGTTTGATCCTGTGACCCCAGATGACGTGGACAGGATTCTGGGTAGATTGAACGCGACCACATGTTTGTTGGACCCGTGTCCCTCCTGGTTAGTGCTGGCTTCCCGGGAGGTGACGCGAGGCTGGCTCCAGGGGATTATAAATGCTTCGTTGGGTGAGGGTGTCTTTCCCGCCGCCTTGAAAGAGGCAGTGGTGAGGCCTCTCCTCAAGAAGCCTTCCCTGGACCCGGCAGTATTGGCTAATTATCGTCCAGTCTCCAACCTTTGCTTCGTTGCGAAGGTTGTTGAGAGTGTGGTTGCGCGACAGCTACCCCAGTACCTGGATGAAGCGTCGTATCTAGATCCGTTCCAGTCGGGCTTCAGGCCTGGGTACAGCACGGAAACGGCATTGGTCGCGTTGGTTGATGATCTCTGGAGGGCTCGGGACAGGGGTTGTTCCTCTGTCCTGGTCCTGTTAGACCTCTCAGCGGCTTTTGATACCATCGACCATGGTATCATGCTGCACCGGCTGGAAGGGTTGGGGGTGGGAGGCACCGTTTTACGGTGGTTCTCCTCCTTTCTCTCTGACCGGTCGCAGTCTGTGTTGACAGGGGGGCAGAGATCGACCCCGAGGCCCCTTATATGTGGGGTGCCGCAGGGATCGGTTCTCTCGCCCCTTCTGTTCAACATTTATGTAAAGCCGCTGGGCGAGATCATCCGTGGTTTCGGGGTGAAGTACCATCTGTACGCTGATGACACCCAGCTGTACATCTCCACCCCGGACCACCCCAACGATGCCCTTGAAGTGATGTCCCAGTGCCTGGAGGCCGTGCGGATCTGGATGGGGAGAAACGGGCTCAGGCTCAACCCATCCAAGACCGAGTGGCTGTGGTTTCCGACGTCCCGATATAGTCAGCTGGCGCCATCGCTGGCTATTGGGGGCGAATCATTGGCCCCCACGGAAAGGGCTCGTAACTTGGGCGTCCTCCTGGACTCACGGCTGTCTTTAGAAGAGCACTTGACGGCCGTGACCGGGAGGATTTTTCATCAGGTTCGCCTGATTCGCCAGTTGCGTCCCTTTCTAGATCGGGACTCGTTACGCACAGTCACTCATGCCCTCGTCACCTCTCGTCTGGACTATTGTAATGCTCTCTACATGGGGCTCCCCTTGAGGTGCACCCGGAGGCTCCAACTGGCGCAGAGTGCGGCCGCGCGGGTGGTTATGGGAGCAACATGGAGCTCCCATGTAACACCTCTCCTGCGCGAGCTGCACTGGCTCCCGGTGGTCTTCCGGGTGCGCTTCAAGATTCTGGTTACCACCTTTAAAGCGCTCCATTGCTTGGGACCTGGTTACTTACGGGACCGCCTACTACCATCAACAGCCTCCCACCGACCAGTACGCTCCCACAGAGAGGGGCTCCTCCAGGTGCCGTCGGCCAAACAATGTCGGCTGTCGGCCCCTAGGGGGAGAGCCTTCTCTGTGGGGGCACCGACGATCTGGAATGAGCTCCCCCCAGAGATACGGAGGATTCCGGATCTGCGCACCTTCCGCCGCGAGTTGAAGACGCTTTTATTTCATCAAGCTGGCCTCGCCTAAATCTTCTCCCTTTTAAGTGTAAATTCTAAATTTTTAATGGATTTTAAAATATGGGTATTTTAAATTGGGTATTAATTCAGCCAAATTTATTTAATTCATTTTATTCGATTTTAAATTTTGTATATCTATGTGTTTTATTTCATGGCTGTGCACCGCCCTGAGTCCTTCGGGAGTAGGGCGGTATAGAAATTCAATAAATAAAAAAATAAAATAAAATAAAAAAAAACATACTTTTGGATAAGCATTTGGAATATATGAAGAGCTAGAGACAGTTTCTCTATACCATTGTTCAGTGATGGCACTTAATTTTGAAGTATATTTTGAAGTTAATCTTTGCATTTATCTATTTATTTTGATATAAGTTTAATTAAGGAAGATTGGTTGGGGGAGAGAAATCAACTAGATAAGGAGGACACAATAATGAGGGACCCTGACAGACATAATGAACAGGTGTACAGCAATCACCACAAAAGGATACAGTCTCTATTTCTCATCATTCACTGAACTAAGAATGGTTAATAACAAAAGCACCATGGAAGTTGCTTCTGCAATTAGCAATAACATCCGCTAATGATCAATGTAATTGAGGCAGAAAAAAAAGGATTAAATCTCAACTTTCAACTCTAAAAGGCAAGTTGGAGCTTGAGAAGGTTGTGGAAAGTCCACCTAATGAAGACAGCTGATACTGTAGTTCTGGAATCTTTCATCAATTGATTTGCTAAAGATTTAGCCTGCGCAAAATGTGTATGCGAGAATGAATATTAAATCATAGTGTAAAATGTGTGCTTTTGGATTAGCTTGTTCTATGAATCCACTAAGAACTATAAAAAGTGAATTATGGTTTAGTGTGTTGTACATATCCAGCCATTTGTGGTTTATTTAATAAAGTGATTAAACAAACCATGGTTTCATGTAAAATATGAACCCGGTCTATAGAGAAATTCCAATACTGGTCATTTTCCACTGAGAAGAAAAATAGCATATTAACTTACCACTGAGTTCAGAGGAAAAGGAACTCCAATAAGGGAAGCCATCAGTGGTGCAATGTCAGCCTACAAGCAGAAAAAAAGTCTCCCTTTGAATGTATACTTAAGTACAATTAAAAGCCAATGTCTCTTTTATGATATATTTGCATGAAACATTTTTATATACAGTACATGACATCATTTCAGATAATTAAAAAATTGTTTCTATGTTTAATCAATAGGAACTTATATTATGCATCATTCGTAAGAATCCAACCTGTGTCAACAGAGCATTGAAAAAAAATGGTCTGCAAACAAAATTGTCCCCATATTGGTAACAATGGATGAGCAAGCAATATTGCTTTAGAAACCAGGAAGGATATTACAGATATAATATTCCCACTATAATGCAGTTCTTGGGCTGAAAGCATGACCTGTGTTTATACTATCAGTGGGTAAACCCATTTTAAATTTTGGCTATAAATAATGAATAAAACAGCAATCAAAGAGAATGAACCTGTGAAATAGATTGAGATAGATTAAGAGAGAGAGAGAGAGAGAGACAGACAGACAGACAGACAGACAGACAGACAGACAGACAGACAGACATAAAAAAACTGGAGGCAGACGGCACTGCTCTATTAATATAACTTATCATAATTATGTTTCTTTCTACAATCTTAAAATAAAGTAAGTTAAAAAACAGTGGGTTTGAAGCAACCAGATACCTGATTCACATCTTGGCGCCTCCACATCTCCAGCTTCCATTCTGTAAGTGATGAAAAGAGAATGATAATTTATGAGGGGAAAAGATAACTGTTTTGATATTTAGCAGTTATTCTTCTGATAACCTTTTTCTTCATATTAAAATATACTTGTGCTTCAGCAGCAGAATATAGTATTAAGAAATTGACTCAAGGGAACACAAAGCATTTTATCTGAATCTAAAGAACCACAAAGGAAAAGCTACACATCAGAATATCCAAGACCTTCTCTTGGATGGAGAAGCGATTGATAAATCACTGATTAAGGTTAGTTTTATGTATAGGTAATCTACTTCAAGTGAGATGGGCAGCCACATAAATTTATTAAATAAAATACAATAAACTGGAAAATGATTCCAGAAACAGTTAAGGCAGAAGCTGCAGCACATTCTAAAATCATGCATTTTTCTTTAACAAATCTGGCCATAGTTCTGTGGCTCATTGTCCAAATCCAGATTACTAGTTAATTTACCATTAAACAGCCAATAGTCTCTCTAGCAAAAAGTATTTTTCTTTCACCCAGAAATAGTAGATAAAATTCTATTTAGAACTGTATGCCTGCTATGTTCATTTTTAATTATTTTATTAGTTCCAAAAACACTACCAGCATTGCAAAGATGACCTCAATACTTGATTGGACATAAAATGACCAGTTCTGTTAATGAGTACAGCATCCATGAGTAATTTTTTACACTTGGTTCATGTTAGGTCCATTTTAGCATTTCATTTAATGTGCCCTTTTAGGTGGAGAATAAACCTATTTTTATCTTGGATTATTACACTATGCAGTTAATTATCCCTCACATTTCCAATCTAGGAAAATCAGCCTTGGAAACAAGAATGATTCATACTCACAGAGGGCATGATGTGAAACAATATGAGCAAAGTGAAGATTAAATGTGGGAAGCAGGATACCTGGGCAAGCAAGAAGAATGCTGAGGATTTCAGGTATCATGAAGAAAAATTAACGGTATCTGAAAATCTGGTAATTTACAATTAATTTAAATGCATTAATCTATTTAATTAGGTTTGATTAAAGATGACAAGGGACCAAATAAACTAGCCTTGTTTAAAACTACATCCAGCTCATAAAATCAGGCTCACAAATCAAAAGTTTCAAGTAAAATTTATTTTCTGCAAATGAGGATTTGCATTTTGAATATGAAAAACAGTGGCTCAAATGTTTTTAGCAGTGAGAGAATTCATATAAATGTAATGGTTTCTAGTAAACTTTTAGTCCCCATTTATTTAATGAGGATATTATCAATGTAACAGCAGAAGCAGCTAATAACACTAAAAACTGTCTTTTCATAATATATGTATAAAAATGGTAATTATAGGTATTACACAAATAATTACATTTACCTTTTAAAAGTGTATCTTCATATTGCTGTGAGATTACTGTCTGAGGATGTTTAATTCCTGCTCCCCAAGCAATTAGGGGTGTTAATGTTTCTGATGGATGACTTGCTCCATGAGTCCCTAAACACATATAGAAAACAAATCAATGTACTATTATTATTATTATTATTATTATTATTATTATTATTATTATTATTATTATTATTATTATTATTTTAAAAAAGCTGGCTTTGAATACCATTTCTCTGCTCTGTTCATCTAGAGGGCAGTCTGCAGCTTCAGTACCACTCAAATTATTTCTTCATGCAAGTCTCCCTTTTGCCTCACAGTTTATCCACAACTGCCTTGGGCTTCTGAAGGATTGCCCCAATCCAGATTTTCAATTATTCATAAAGTATTTCTATGTATCTACTACCAACCAACAACCTAAAACTAAGGTTTACTCAAATTCCTACAGATGCTTCTGGCACTTCATTTCTTTATCTAGTAAAAGTTTGGTCAACTCTTCTATAACAAACTGTTTGCTCATTAATCTCATCAGGTATAATTGTCACTCCAATTTTTTATCACTTTCAGTAACTCAAGATTTCACATTTTCTTAAAATGACACTGCCACTTTTCTCTTCCTTAGCTTGACCATCATTCTAAAATCCCTTTATATTTTGTTACTGCATTTCTCGCCATTGACCATGATGGCTAAGGTAGCAGGGACCTGGCTACACATTTGTTGACCCATCCTATATGATCTTGATGTTTCTCTTTTCCTTTTAAACCACCTATTAAAATCTCTGCTTTGGTTCTTTTTTTCCTAGTCCCAGCTCAATTTACTTTCATTTATTATTTGTAGCTTAGTCACATCTAAATTGAAATTCAGCCTTCTTCAGTCTCAGTCAGAACATCTTAGGTGTTATTACTGAAATCTGTCTAAGTCAGTGATGGGCAATCTTTTTTTTTTTATCATCAAAGACTGTATTCCTAACAAAGTTTTTTATTGGGGCCTCATAAAATGCCCATGATTCAGGAAGGATGTGGCTATTTAAGAATAAAGTAACTTTTCCCTTTTGCAGATTTGCAGATAATGTGTATGCTTTGTCCATTGTAAACCCTAAGATACACCCTAAAGACTCCTTTAATAATTTTTATCGAAGTTTAACAATGGATGGAACAGTTGCGAAAGGATTGCTTCAGATATATCTCCAATATTATCCTGCTTCTCAAATAAGACTGATATGGCTGAGAATGTAGCCATGCTAGCCTATATTTGCACAGGTGGTCCTCCACTTATAGCCGTTCATTTAGTGACGGTTCGGAGTTACAACAGCAATGAAAAAAGGGACTTCTGACCATTTTTCACACTTACGATCTTTGCAGCATCTCCATGAACACATAATCAAAATTTGGACCCTTGGCAACTGGCATATATTAATGACAGTTGCACTGTTCCAGGGTCATGTAATCCCCTTTTGCAACCTGCTGACAAGCATGATCAACAGGGATGCCAGATTCACTTCACAACCATATTACTAACTTAACAACTGTGGTAATTTGTTTAACAACCATGGCAAGAAAGGTCATAAAATGGAGCAAAACTCACTTAACAACTGTCTTGCTTAGCAATGGAAGTTTTGGACTTCTTGTGGTCATAAATTGAGGACTAGCTACCGTGTTTCCCCCAAAATAAGACCCTGTCTTATATTTTTTTGAACCCTGAAATAAGCGCTTGGCCTTATTGCCATGCGCTCAAACGCCTGATTGGGCTTATTATCAGGGGATGCCTTATTTGGGGGGAAACAGGGTATATTCCTCTGCATCTGTAATATTTATTCTGTTTGACACAATGCTGTGAATATAAACATAAACATCCATTTCTAAAAAAAATTAATTCCAAAATATAATTAACCCTATGTAAAGAAAATACTGGTTTGTGTGATAAATAAAGAAAGCAAAACATGGAATACCACAACGGACAAACATTTTCTGAGCTGAACCTTTATAGTGTTCTGAAACAAAATCTCACCCCAGTCTGTCATTCCATGGTCAGAAGTTAAGATAAAGGCTGTGCTGCCATCATTTCCATAGAAGCCCTCAACTAATGAAACAATTTCTTGTACGCCTTCATCAACTTTCCTGATATTGTTCTTATATTCCCTACAGAAAAGGAAAATATTGTAATTATGAATCTAGAAGTACATTTGCACAAGATTTAAAAATAGCACCAACCACAGTAATAGAAGCATTAAAATATCCTCCACTTAGTTTATTTTGTACAATATTCCTTTCTTCGCACATCACATTACAAAACTGGATTTAAAGCACTCCAAGCATTTAATTTTCAAACATGTTAATTGTATAACAAATGATCAAAAGAGTCAAAATGCAATAGTTTATTTAGATGAAAGTATTTGAAATATTCTTTTTATTACAAGCTGCCGTTTTTTCACTGGCACAATCAGAATGTAAGGGTGTTAACCTCTATTGTCATTCTCAAAATTATCCTTAGGAGAGACTTCTAATTCTCAAAAAAAAAAAAAAATTAAAGAAAATATCAAACTTACATGCCATAACTTGCTTGCTTTATTTATTATTAAATAAATTACATGGCCTTCTGATTCAAACACGTTGATTCCACTTCATGGGAATTGCCATGGCAGAATTTGGTGATTAAGAATGACTTCTGCGGGAAAACATTCTAGCTGTCTATATAGTCCGGTTTAAACATTTTTCTTTTCCTTCACTTGTTACTATTACATTATTATTTAATTTTAGTAGAAGACATTAAGACTTATTATATATATATTTATGTATTAGTTCAATTTATATGCCGCCCTCCTCTGAAGACTCAGGGCGGCTTACAATGCACTTATAGCAATAGCCTTCATTCTTTTGTATATACCTGCTTATTAGGGCTTTTGGCCCCCCATAAGCGGTGTTTCTACAAAGTCAGTTTATTGCCCCCATAATCTGGGTCCTCAATTTACCTACCTCGGAAGGATGGAAGGCTGAGTCAACCTTGAGCCTGGTGAGATTTGAACTCGCACTAATTGCAGGCAGCTGGCAGCCAAGTGCTACATAACAGCACTTAGTCCGCTGCACCACCAAGGCTCTTATATAGAATGCCCCAGTCCTTCCATCAACCAAATAAATAATATTTATTATTATTGGAGAGGGAGCCATGCTCATCAAACTGATCTTGTCCTCAATAGCAATTTTTGTCCCATTCTCTTTCATGCTCTTCACAAGATGTTTGCAACCTCTCACTTGTCTAATACATCAAGTTTCTTAATTTGAGAATTATTAAGAAGCTTAAAGCTTTCCCACAAACTTTGGAAAGATTATGGTACAAGGTGTCTAAAGTACAGCTTTTACATAAATGAGTTAATCCGTTTTTTCCAGAGTCATAAATGTATCTCTCACTTAGTATAATCATTGTAATGAAATTAACCTAGTTGAAATAAAACTGAAAATAAAATTAAATCACACAAAGAAATTGTTCAAATATAATTATGTACTTTTAATCCTATTAATTTCAGTGGAGGATTTAGGCACATTGTTAATTCTCTCACATACCATATGTACACTGCAAAAATGCCTTTATTTAATTAAACAGAATAGGGAAAAAGAAAGAACAATAAAAGAGGGGAAAAAGAAAGCCAAACATCAAAAAGGCATATAAAGACTTCTGATACATGTTTATACAAATTTTACACAGCACTTTCAATAAAGGGTCATCATAATTCATAACCATTTATATATACTGTAACCTATATCTATAAACAATTTGATCATAAGTTGGAAATACCATCAAGTCTTGAATCCATGAATAACTGGTTCTACAAATTAAAGTTATTTAAAATTGTATAGCTTTGGTTGTACTTATACTATATTTCAAAAATATAAATCATACATTTTTACCTTGAATGAGGCCGATGAGCATGACCATTTGTATCTAATCCTAATAAGTGCAGGAAGAAAATGATTTTTTGTTCATGAAGTTTAGAAAACAATGTTTCATTGTTTTTAGCCAAGTTGAAGAAATCCTAGATCAGAAAACCAAGTAAATTACTCTGAGACCAGAAACAGTTCTAACCAGAAAGTTACAACTTATTATTGTTATCAGCAATTATCACGCAAAAGAACATGGAAGGAAGACATTTAAATAAATTCCTCTCTAGAATATGGTCCTTATATTCATTTCTACAGAAAATATATTCAAACGGATAACTTAAGTCTAAATGATTTACAAACCCTTGAAACATCTTTTAGACAGATGGGAGTATCTAACATTTATTTCTCATCTTCACCATTTTTCCTCAGATTCTTTTCCCACTGACTTTAATAACAAAAAGAAATCCAAGTAAAAATACTGAAGGAGTACTTAGGAACCAGAAGGTAAGAATATTCATAATTCATAATTCAGACATCAGTTCTCTTTGCATTCTGCAAACTTAAATCTCTAATTCTTTCTTCAGATGGAAATATGGGCACGTTATACTACAAAGTTTGGAGCAAATGACAGGGAAAATCCAACATAAAATTATCCTAGGTAGCTGAACACTACCTAAAAACCCACTTTATTTAAAATGTACCACACCGTACAACAGGGAATAAAGGAGACAAATTTGAGAATTCAACTATAATCTGCCAGTCATATAATAGGGATGCAAAAGAAAGATTTTTATTCACCTTAACCTGGTCAAAAACCCAAGTGTCCAATATAGTGGCATCTTCAGCTGCAAAGTCCTCTCTTTCAGCTTTATAGCAATAGGTGTAAACGTGATCACCAGTAGCACCTGCAACCAAACATTCCAGCTAAAGAAAAGGATAACTATATTTTTGACTCAGTTTCCCCAAGTCTTCTCAAAACATATTTTAGCTTCGTTTAGATGTACTTTAAAGTACCTAGAGTTATTTCACATCAACTCTTAGGAGCTGCTCATGCACTTAAATGGATAATTTCTCTAAAAATAACTTTTCCTTCCATTTGATATATAAACAACTAACAAAATGATGGGAAGCTAGCAACAGGAGTCTTGGACTTGAACGTTCAAAAGACTTCTGGTTATTGCAATTAAGTATAAATCTTTAATATTTTAGAAATGAAGACTCAATAATGCTAAAATAAGCTCACCTTTAGCAAACATAGGTAGAATATCTGGACTTCCCCAGCTCCAAGTATATTTACTTTCATTGAAAATAGAATCAAATTCCACTGGATTTTCTTTCCATCCTGTAAATCAAAAAGTATACTGCTGAAGTTATTGGGTTTTTTTTAAAGAGGGAAAAGTAAGACTTGGTGCCAGTTGTTAAAAGTTATAAAGGCATTATGTTCATTTGGGGAAAGTGAATCCACATCATCACATTTAATTAGCAAGTTACATATTTATTTTAAACATGGGAAAATTGTAATTTTTGTATAGAAAATGTGAAAATACTTCTACATTCCCTACATAAAAATAATACATTTTTAATTTATTTTTATGCCAATATTTACTAAAAATTGGCTGAAGAATCTATCTGGAAAACCTCAATGATATTGGAAATTTCAAAGAAAGGTCACAAATCTTATTCATATATAGTATTATGTATAGTTGCATCTTATTTTAATTATGGCTTATTAAACAATTCAAACAAATAAAACAATACTGGATTCTTTTGACTATCCATTGTTTGTTTCCCATTTGTTTTCTCAAATTTCTTCTTGTGTTTCCAGGGATAGGCACAGAAAATGAGCCAAGAATCTCAGAAACCAGAAGCAAATGATAGTTATTTTACTTTATTCTATATGTCTCCATTCACACATCATACTAAAGCGTAATTGTATGCAAGAAGCCAACAAGCCATTGTTTCAAACTCTGTTTACTTCTCTAAGCCAAAAATATGTTATCATATACTATAAAGTAACATGCTGTACAATTATCAATACATTATGTACCCTTGAGCCAAAGATGAGAAAATGAAAACTAATCCTCCTTTCTAAACATATATATACTGTGGGTGTGCGTGGGTGTGGGTGTGGTGTATGTATGTGTGTGTGTGTGTATGTATGTATGTATACGGAGAGAGGGAGAATGAGAATGAAAATGATTGCAGTTCTGTTCAGATTTATCTGAGAACAGACCCCACTAAAACTAATGATTTATTTCTCAGTAATCATACACAGAATTGTGCTGCAAATATCATTTAGATACAGTAATAAAAGTGGAAGACTAGTTCAAACTCATAATACCTAATTGCATTTAAGTTGTGTTCTCATAATGGAAAGCTGACATACTGCCATAATTCTATAAAGTAGTCGTTCCCATTTACAAAAAAATAAATAGGTGGGTTTCAAAGACATAGACTGAGTTCTTTAATATGCTAAAGTAAAACGAAATGAACCACATTATGGCTTATGATGAAGGGTGAGCTTACCCAGGTATGATTACAGTCATTCAATAAAGCATAACTAACCAAACTACAACTTAACACAGCCATCTCATTTCCATTTATATGAGAGGACTTTCAGAATAATAAAGTAGGATGGGATGCAGAGAAAATTGCCCCAAATTGGCAATCTAATTTACACACAGCAGTTCCCATGTTCATTACATTGTGAAAGGACCTGCAAAAGACAAAGTAAGTCTTTCTTTTTTGCTGAAATAAATTGGATGTTCCATACCTCTAGCAACAGCACTGACATCTTCATAAAATCCAGCTATTAGAGCAACATGCCCAGGTCTAGATTCTGTTGGAACACGAGTATGAGATACTCCCCAACTGCCTTGTGAAGCTATGATATTCCTGGAAAGAAAGATTGATTCTAAATTAAAAAGCTGATGGCGTAGCTCACCTACATTTCAAGTACTGAATCTACTTTAGGCTGCCATGAAAAAAAGGGAACAATATCATGTACTCAGCTTGTAAAAACAAGAATGCCCATATCTAAATGTTAGACAACTAAGCTAGTAATTCAGTTCAAGCATAATATCAAACTTAAAGCACTTTTGCATGACAGGCACAGCTTAATCTATAGTACAGTCTTTCTGAAACTTGGCAACTTTAAAATGTATGGACTTCATCTCCCAAAATTCCTCAGCCAGCCATGCTGGCTAGAGAATTCTGGGAGTTGAAATCCACACATCTTAAAGTTGCCAAGTTTCAGAAAGACTGTTCTAATAGCAGCAATGAATAAAAAATGAAAAGCAAATGAAAAGCAAAAATCTTTTGATAGTAATCCTACTATACTTCTTTACTTCTTCATTAGCTTGTTAGCAGCCACTGGTAGGGATTTTCGTATTGTGTTGTTGTTTTAATTCCATTTATGATCCCCAACCCTGATTATATCTTCATTACTATGAACCCATGAAAAATAAATGGTTTAAAAAGTGGAAAGAACTTATGTGGCTGAAATAGTTCTATTTTGCAGTCACTCTAGCCTCCAGTTTTTTTGTTCAGAGACCAAAAAGGGAAGCAAGTTCAAAGTAATTCTCATTTTCAGATGAGGTTGGTACACAGAACTCAACAAACCTTGAGTACAAACAGTGGTTACCCAACATCCAGGTCCAAATCATGCACTAAGTTTTTATGTAAGATTAGTGTCCTCCAGATGTATTGGAGGTCAACTGTTGTCAATTTCAGCCAGTTGCATTGATTCATTGAATCTGTAGCCCCAAATATCTAGAACACATCAGGTTGTCTATCCCTGCTTTAAACTGTGCTCAAGAAAGTCAGACATAGAAAACCTGATGTGTTCTAGATATTTGAGACTAGAGATTCGATGAATCAATGCAGCTGGCTGAAGTTGACAGCAGTTGAACTCCAATACATCTGGAGGACACTAATTCGCCTTAACAAAGTTGTAAGAACAAGCCTCTGAACCAGATGCTCTGGCACTTCCATTTTTAAATTAAATACAGCATGCCATTACATTTAAGACAAATAATCTCTAATTAGAGGCAATCCTCCATTTACAACAGTTCATTTAGTGACCTTTCAAAGTTACAAGTGACTTATATCCATTTTTCACACTTACAACCTTTGTAGGATCCCCATGATCACGTGATCAAAATTCAGATGCTTGGCAACTGACTCATACTTATGACCATTGCTGTGTCCCAAGGTCATGTGATCACCTTTTGCAAGCTTCTAACAAGCAAAGGCAGTGGGGAAGCCAGATTCAATCAACAAACAGGTTACTAATTTATCAACTGCTGTGATACACTTAACAACTATGGCAAGAAAGGTCATAAAACAGGCCAAAACTCACTTAACAACAAAAATTTTGGCCTAACTTAAGGATTACCTATACTGGATAGGTACAAAGATCACATTAAGACAAGAATAAAGGCATCACCTTATAGCTTAGCATTATATATGACCTAACCCTGGAAAAAGGCAGTTTCAAAAGAAGAGGGGGGGGGGTTTAACCTCAATTGCAAAGCATGGTTTAAATTAAGCAAGGTAATCCATTGCTGAATTTTCCAAAACAAACTGAGTAACATACACATTCATGACATACTGGAGAGGGAAACAGGAAAATATGCAAACCCAAGGCTGGACTGGGAAGACAGTAATTATGTAATTGCTCATAATTAGAACATTGACAAAATGTCAAAGTTAAGTACTTGGGATTTTCCCCCTTAAAGATAAGAATCAAATTATCTAATTTCAACACCTAGACTTGAATAACAATTTCTTTCCCTCAGCAACCAGTACTTATAACAAATATTGGAAGGAAAACAAAGTTACCTAAGGAAAGGCGCATTAGAATTGCCACCGTCGTCCAATGCATATAGTGAATCTGCACGTAGACCATCCGCAACGAACAGTACTAAGCGTTGTGCAGGTGGCGGCAGCAGAATTTGATGAGGAGTCATTCCATGGACCAGAGGAGAGGTAAAATAAATGTCAAAGATAGAGATCAGGAACACACAATGTACCAGAATACCAGCAACTATAAAAAATTGCATATTCATGGCGATACGTTGTCAGCGAGGATGCGAACAAGGAATCCAACACTAAAAAAACAATCAAAAGTAATTATAGGTCAATGAAGCAGGAAATCATTGCATCCTAAGATGACAAATGTTGTTGATCCACAAACAGCTAACAATATTCGAGCATTAGAGGAGGGCGAGGCTGCTTCTTCATGAAAAAAAGTTGTGCAAGTACAAGTACAGGTAGTTCTTGACTCACAACAATTTATTTTGGTTGACTGTTTGAAGTTACACTGGCACTGGAAAAGAAGACTCATGACTGTTTTTCACACTTACAACCATTGCAAGTATCCCCATGGTCACATGATCAAAATTCAGACACTTGGCAACTGATTCATACTTACAATGGCTGCAGGATCATGGGATTATTTTTTGCACCTTCTGACAAGCAAAATTCACTTAACAGCTGTGTTACTAACTTAACTACAATGATTCCCTTAACAGGAGCAAGAAAGGTCATAAAATGGGGCAAAATTCACTTAACAACTATCTCATTCAGCAACAGAAATTTGGGGCTCAATTGTGGCTGTAAGTTGAGGACAACTTGTATGCAATGACAGTCAGAAAGCATACAAAGTTTGCAAAATCTCTCCTTCAACCATTCAAAAAGAGGTTTTTATGTGTTCTCCTGTATTGTCAAGAACTTCCTTCAAAAGTTTTAAGTAGTCCTAATGCCAACATACATGCACTGCAGAGTTACCTGAATTATTAAGACAGTATTTCTTAAATTTATTTCTCTCAGGATCTCTTCCCATGTTTAAAAATTATGGAGGACTCCCCAAAAAAGTTTTTGTTCATATGAATTACAGTTATCAATATTTAAAATGTATTAAAAATTAAAATTGACAGATTGGCTACCACAATTATTTCTCACATTTGATAGGTCTTTAAAGTCGCCTTGTGGCCAGCAAACATATTTAATAAATAAAATAAATAAAAATACTGTGTTATGTTTCAACACAGGCTGGCAACCAGTTTTGATTTTTCAGACCACTGAGAGATCCACACTGTACGAAACATTGAATTAAGCATTGGAGCAGCTAATTAATTTAAAATCTTGAGCTTAATTACCTTATTTAGTTATTAAATTATTGAACAGTAATAACACAAGCAATTACTTTCTAAAATAAAACATAAACATTATAAAACTAATGAAACACAAATATAGTAATCAGAAGAAAAAAATGCTTCTTTCCTGAAAGGTAAAATATAGGAGCTAACAAAACTCCTGAGGAAACAGATTTGGCAACAACTAAGCAGAAAGTACTTTTCGTAAACAACCAATTGATGGACTACTAAAAGCACACATTTCTTTATGAGGGTTTCTCTTAACCACCTTAGTGCCTGGCCATGAGCAATCCATCAATCAAGCCCTAAATTATCTAAGGCTATAAAAGTAACAGATTGTATGTATAATGAAACAAGCCATATCAGAAACATTTATTTTTGCTGTGCTGTTATTTGATGCAATTTTGCAACATTGCAGATCTGTATTTATTTATTTTCCCCATCCCCCATCCTTTCTTGTTCTTTTGCAGCAGTTGGTATCCAACAAAAAGCAGGCTGATTAATTGCTTAATTGCTTTTCACACCATTAGGAAATGATGTGAAAGGAAATGGACAAAAATGCATTTAAAACCCGAGCCTAAATTAGGCATAACATTCATAGAACTGGCAATCAGTATAAGTTTTTCAGTATAGGCATGCAGTAACATGATAAGGGATGTGGTGGCTCAGTGGCTAAGACACTGAGGTTGTCGATCAAAAGGTCAGTAATTCAGCAGTTTGAATCCCTAGTGCCACGTAGCAGGGTGAGCTTCCGTTACTCGTCCCAGCTTCGCCAACCTATCAGTTCAAAAGCACGTAAAAATGCAAGTAGAAAAATGGGGACCACCTTTGGTGGGAAGGTAACAGCGTTCCGTGCACCTTTGGTGTTTAGTCATGCCGATCACATGACTACGGAGACGTCTTCAGACAGTGCTGGCTCTTCAGCTTTGAAACGGAGATGAGCACCGCCCCCTTGAGTCGGGAATGACTAGCACCTTTAACATGATTCTGATATTAGGTACTCCATCAATTACATTTTCCACCAACTAAAACTCCCAAAACTCTGTCTTCAAGGTATCAAAATAATAAGCATCTATAAAAAATATACCCACTGAGTCATTCATCCCTGAACTATGAAGGCCAGAGCTCAATTAGCTATCTCTCCAAAAGGCCATTTGGAACTTTTGTACTTAGGACTCTGGGCTTCATCACATGATCTTCCTCTTTACAAAAGCTGACAAGCCACTTTGAATCAGAGCTAAATTCTACCCCAGTTCCCGCAAACCAATTCAAGACACAAGTTGCAGTTTTGGGAGCTCTAAACCAAGCACCAGAGAATGCAACCGAATTAAAAACAAGAAACAGATTAGGCAGTTCTTCTCAGGCAACTCCGTCATTGACAAACAGCTTGACAAACAGCTGTCTATTTCTCCCCGTAAAGGTACAGGCTAATAAACTGGTGGGAACAATTTTGGTTGCAGCCCTCTACTGAACCAGGTCCCTTTAGGTCAGGGGTGTACAACCTTGGCAACTTTAAGACTTGTGACTTCAACTCCCAGAATTCCTCAGACATCATGGCTACCTGGGGAATTCTGGAAGTTGAGATTGAGGTCTTAAAGTTGATGTGGTTGGAAATCCCTGTTTTTAAGCTGAATAAAAATATAGACATAATGAAGCAAAATGCAGATCTTATTTTCCCCAAAACTACTCCATTTAATGCCCAATGTCTTTTGAAAAGTTTGTCTCACAAAGCTGGGAGGTTGACACTGCTTAGGCCAAAAGCCAAAATATTAATCTTTATAAAATATGTCACCATTCACTATCCATTTCTATTTATGTTTTCAACAAGAAAGAAACATCTATAAAGCATTTGTCAGATGAACAGGGTAAACCAATGAAAGGAGAGATTTAAAGCATCCAAACAAGTCACAAAAAATATTTTAGTCACATTTTTCAAAAAGCCTATGCTCCAATGAACATTACAAGCCTGCTATATATAATTTAAAAGAATTTTAAAGAATTTTCTGTTCCTCAATGGTCAGTTTAATGTCTGCTAGGAATCTAAATTTCTGGGACCTTTACTTTGAGTTTCCCAACTTTCCCTGTCCATGACCTGTGTTGGGCTTCCCAGGGCTTCCCCGGGCTTCCCCATCTGCCTGAGGCACCCTTCACTTTTTACCACGCTGCATATCTCTGCTCAGATTTTGGCTCTCTTTTGTCTTTGAAGGTTGGCTGAAAGAGTGCCTGAAAAAGGAGTTCAGCTTCCCTCTATGCATGGGAGAGAACTTTGACAAGGTGCAGAAATGGAATTAAAATCTTCAGGATCTGAGCCCTCTTTCCCCAGAGACAAGAGGGAATATTCTTGGCAGGCAGATGCAGCTTGCAACCTTCCTGCCAGCTTCCCCCTGACTTTTTGGGGAAGTGGATAAGAGAAAATTGCAAACAATGATTACATGATCACGGGGTTCTTGGCAACTGGTCATAAGCATGAACAGGTTCTTAAGCACCCAGATTGTGGTCGTATCATCACAAAGTGGTGGTACAATATTTTCCTATGGCTGTACGTACTTTACAGACCATAAAATACTCTTTCCTAGGCTGTGATAACCCTGGAATGTTGTTAAACGAACATAAGTCTGTTCAGATTGTTCTGATATGGTAACTGTGCATTACCTATGGGATGACCACATCAGGAAAGAAATGACAACAACATTTTGTACCATCACTGTAATAATTTTAGTTTATGTCTGCATATTTCAATAAACTTCAAACTGGGGCCAGAGATGCTAAGGGACAAAATGTGTAAATTTCACATCTAAAAGCCAAATCTTGCCCCAAAGTATTCCTGTCCTGTAAGACAGTTCTTTTCTGATAGAAGTTCCATGCCAAACTATGCTTTGCTAAACTATTCTGTAAATAATAATTTGCTTATAAACCATAATGAACTAGGTTCATACAGCATGCATAATCTGAACCATGTTAAAAACAACAGTGATTGAGCTCATACAACTTCCTTAAGCTCAAACCAAACACATTTTTGAAGAATGTGCTTTAATTTTTTTATTAACATGCTGAGATCTACCAATGGAATTCTCATGAAAAAAGGCTGCATTCACACAAATTTCAGCCCTCTTTTAGTTAACCAAAGTTTGTTGAATAAACCACAATGAGGTTGATTTATAAAAACAATCAATATAAACCACAGTGGCAACAGTCTCATCATATCTTAATCCTAGGCCAAAAACAAATAATCCTACTTTGGCTTCGCTTTTGCAATCCATTCATAGTAAGAATTTGCTTGGTTACAGTAGCTAGCTAGTCTTGGACTTTTTTTTTTAAGGTGGGCAGAATGCTATCCAGAGGGTCCTTGGATAGGAGACCACCAGGAAATCCCCACTGTATAATAGCCTTGGAAATCAAGAAAACATTTTATTTATTCATCCCACCTTTATTATTTTTACAAATACTTCAAGCAGCAAGCACAACCAACACACCTTCTTCCTCCTATTTTTGCCACAATATAACTCTCTGAGGTGGGTTGGGTTGAGAGAAAGGGAGTGACTGGCCCAAAGTCACCCAGCTGGCTTTCATGGCTAAGGTGGGACTTACATGGCAGGAGGCAATGCACACTACTTCCATATTATTGTCAAGAAAAATGATACTGAAAGTCAAGCTTCGTTGGAGACTTGAGTCCATACACACACATTTCGATTACTTCAAATGTTCTTAATTCCAGCAATCTAATCTATTGACAATATATTAGTGTCTACAATAATGCATAGCTTATCATGCTGCCGGCATGCTTAAACACAAGGGTACCAACCACAATGATGGCACCAAAAGTCAAGCCTCACTGGAGACCTGAGTCCATGCACACACACTTATGCAAACAATTACTTCAAGAGTTCTTAATTCCAGCAATCGAATGTAATGGCAATATATTAGTGTCTGCAATAATGCACAGCTTATCATAT